AATACACTAAAAACACGAACATACTAATACATCAAAACACACATACACACTAAGGCACTAATCCATACGTGGAATGGTTACACACATTGTTAACACACAGACTAATACATTGGATGATACACACTTGTACACATACTTATACATAAAAAAATGTACACATTTATACACAAAAACACAAACAATGTTAATTCAAACACTCAACAAAGTGTAAATGCTCTACGCATCTTTGACATATCCTATAGAATTTAAATGTGCAATATGTGAGTGTTACTTTGATCAGTGATCCATCCCGTTAAATTTAATAAACTCTTTTAATTTTGACCAATGATTAGTTTGTGTGTTTATTTTCTATATTAGTGTCTTTATTTCTTTGGTGTATCAGTGTATGGGTGTTTTTGTGGTATTAGTGTGTGTGACTAGAGCATGTGTTTTGGAGTGTTTTTTTTATTTTGTATATGTGTTAGTTTGGGTTTCTATAATAGTTTGTTTGTGGGATTAGTGTGTGTGTGAATGTATATATTGATTAGTGTGTGCATTTTGGTGTGCTATTGTGTGTGCATTTGTGTTTCTATAAAAGTGATTGTTTTGGTAGATTAGTGTTTGCATTTTGGTGGATTAGCCAGTGTCAACATTACATGTGATGGAGTGTATGTATTTTAGTGAATTAATGTGTGTGTCTATGTGTTGAGGTGTATTAATATGTTTATTTTTTGTTGTATTAGTGTGTATTAACAAAGTATTTGGGAGGGTGTATTAACGTGTGTCGTGTCTGTGTAATTGTGTTAAAGTATGTTGGTGTCTATGTTTTGTTGAGGTATTATGTCTGTTTTTTGGTGTATTAATGTTTGTTAACATCGTGTATGGGTGTGTTTGTATTTTGGTATATTAATGTGTGATGGGTGTATTTTTTTTTCATGTATTAGTTTGTGTTTTAACAGTGTGTATATGCGTGTCTGTGTTTGTGTATTTATTTATTTGTGTGTGCATGTTCTTGGTATGTTAGTGTGTGTGCTAACAAAATGTGTGTTTTGGTGTATTTGTTTGTGTTTTGGTGTATTAGTTTATGTGTGTTTACGTGTACTAGTATCTGTCTTTTGTGTAATACCGTTGTGTATATGTGTTTTTGAATATTAGTAGTTGTAATAGGAAAGACTAACTTATTACAATTCTGCTCTCATACTTGTTTATAGTATTTTATTTCTTAAATTGTTGTGTTATGAGTCGAGTAATATTGCCTATTGAGTGTTATAGTACCTTAAAACAATGTAGGAAAAACCAACCACAATTGGGAGGCTCCTATAGCAACAATCCTACAAATTTACTTTTAGGTGAGCTTGTAATTGTTGTAGATTTTTGCTTGAGTATGATATATGCTAATATTATGACCGATTGTGTGCTATTGCTTATTTTTTGTAGGACCTTAAGATGGTGGATGGAAGACCCACCCATTGAATTTTGGGAGGCAAGTAAAGTTGTAATCTAAGCGGTTGCAGATTTACTTTCAGGTAAGCTTGTGACAGGTGTTGAATTTTCTTTGAATATTTTGTGGTATTGATTTTTTTAGTTTTTTCTTTTCTTCTCTTCTTGTAATATTCTTAATTATTGTCTCTGATCTCAATTCTTTGCTTAAGATTTCTTGCAGACACTAATGTTGAAGATTGAAGATCCTACATCATGTTGCTCTTTATACAAATGAATTATAGTGATTTTTGTTGGTCCACGTGACTATTTTTTTTGGATGTGTTTGAGTGGATATTCTAGCTTTTATTTTTAAATATTAATGATATATTTTTTTAATAATTGTGGCTGTGTTTGAAAGATTTCACTGCTATTAAAAAACTTGATTTAATTGTTATATTTTAGATGAACCTTTAATTTACAAGTTATGAAAAAAAGATACACCTATACACACTAATGCACCAAAAACACTTACATACTAATACACCAAAACGCACATATATACTAAGTGTCACACCCTAATTGACTTGGGTGCAAATGGCCGGTCTTGGTGGCACCTTGCACCAAGGCATGCTAGAAATCGGAATCAAGGTGATGCGGCTAAGTGGTTTGATAGATTGGGGCGAACCAAGGCAGCATGAGACCACCCGGTTGAGCATGGCAGCATGAGACCACCCGGTTGAGCATGGCAGCATGGGTGGGCTCAATTGAAGCAATGTGGGTGCAGAGCTTCGGATTGCATGGCATGGGTTGAACCCAGCATGCACATTGGTTCGTGTAGCAAGGTTGATTGCTGAATGTGGGCACCTGACTGATACATGACTGCTCAATGCATGTGACAAGGAGGATGTGGATGGTTATGATGCTGAGACTCTGTCAAGGCAGTTGCTGAGGCAGTTTTGGACGTCCCCAGTCTGAATCCAGTCTAGATACATGCTGATGAAGGGCAGTTCCACAACAGTTATTGGAAGTGGTGGAACTGCCTGCCAGGTGTTGCACAGAGACCAAGTCTGCTAGCCCAGTCTACTATGGAATAGTAAAAACATGGGTAACTACCCCTTGGCAGATGGGGGTGTCATCTGCCTTCCTCTTGTATAAATAGGGGTGCTTGAGCATTCTGAAAAGGGGAGAGTGTTCTGGTTTTGAGAGTCCTTGTAAATTGTTGAGTTCAATATATAAGGTTTGGGAGTGTTGTTCCAGTAAATTCGTGTGTGCATTCTATGTGAGTTTCTGTCCCTTATTCTTGAGTTGGAGTGTGGCTGGTTGCAATAGCAATGCCTTCACAGGTAGCCTCAAAAGAAAAACGAAAGTTACCCTATGACACTAAGGCACTAGACTGCGTGCAATGCTTACATGCATTGTTAACACAAACACTAATACATCCACGGATACATACACACACGTACACATTAATACATAAAAAATTGCATATATTAATACACAAAAACACATACAATGTTAATACAAGCACTCAACAAAGCGTAAATGCTCTTATGCATCTTTGACACGTCCCATCGAATTTAAATGTGCAATATGCGAGTGTTACATTGATCATTGATCCATCCTGTAAAATTTAGCCAATGATTAGTTTGTGTATTTATTTTCTGTATTGGTATCTTAGTTTCTTTGGTGTATCTGTGTATGGGTGTTTTTTGTGGTATTAGTGTGTGGGACCAGAGCGTGTATTTTTTTTTGTATGTGTTAGTTTGTGTTTCTATAATTGTTTGTCTTTGAGTTTATTTGTTTGTTAGATTAGTGTGTGTATGTGTTTGAGTGTATGTATTTTGGTGAATTGAGGTGTGTGTATGTGTTTATTTTGTGGTATATTAGTGTGTCTTAGAAGTATGTGGGAGGGTGTATTAGTTTGTGTCGTGTCTATGTAATTGTGTGTTAAGGTGTGTAGGTGTCTATGTTTTGTTGATGTATTATGTGTGTTTTTTGGTATATTAATGTTTGTCAACATCAGGTATGGGTGTATTTGTATTTTGGTATATTAATGTGTGGTGGTTGTATTTTTTTTCATGTATTAGTTTGTGCTTTAACAATGTGTTTATGTGTGTGTGTGTGTTTGTGTAATAATTTATTTTTTGTGTTGTTCTTGGTATGTTAGAGTGTGTGTTAACACAATGTGTGTTTTGGTGTATTCATTTATGTGTTTTTACGTGTACTAATATCTGTATTTTTGTGTATTAGTAGTTGTAATACAAATGACTAACCTATTACTACTCTGCTGCCACACTTGCTGACACTATTTTATTTTCTAAATTTTTGTGCTATGACTCGATGTATAAAATTGCCTATTGAGTGTTGTAGTACTTTAAAACGATGGAGAAAGATCAACCTACTGAAATTTGGGAGGCTTTTACACCGACAATCCAAGTATTTACAGATTTACCTTTAGATTGGACTACAAGACCAAAAAAATGCCGCTGATGTGAATTTAATGCCATAAAAGTGCAATTCCTGGACTAGAAGACAAAAAAGGACATCTAGATAGAGTTATGGCCAATTTTCGTTTTTTTTTATTAATTGTTTCTTAAATACTAGTAGGCTTTAGACCTTATTACGTGTCCTCAATCTCATGACCTCTGATTGCAGCATGTAATGCCAGTGTACTCGCATTCCAAAGTTATCTCTCAATTGCTCTAGAACATTGCCCTATTCTAGTTTTATATTCTTTATTTTTGTGAAAGAAGAGAATAGAGAATGAATAACAAATGTATATTGTTTTAGTGTTTTTTATTATATACATGAGGAGGTTGATTTATAGTATAAGACAATAGTGAGATTTCGTAGATTAACCGATATGGGACAAGCATATAAACATTAACATCCTCTCAAACTCAAGGTGGGATCGAAGATGCCAAGTGGAGTTTACAAACTAAATCCTGATGACAACCAAGTGTATGAGCCTTCGTGAAGATATCAGTCAGTTGATATAAAAGACAAAGAGCGTCCTCCTGTAGGCGATGACGCATAAAATGACAATCAATCTCGATTTATTCTGTGCGCTCATAAAAGACATCATTGTAAGCAATAGCACTATGGTTATCATAATAAATATTAGAGGGCCGCAGGAAGATGGTCAGAGCAGATCGGAATGAAACCGAAATAAGACCGAGACAAATCAAGATGGTTGGGAATGGATTGGAAAGTCATTGGATGACGGGCAAGGCAGGTTATAATGTCGTCAGAGGATGACCAAAAAGTTGCTGGTGGACACCCGGAGGTCACTAGACAATGGCCAAGAGGCGATCGGAACATCGCTTGAGCATATCAGAACGTCGTCGGAGGACAATTAGAGGATGGTCGGGGCAGGTCAGAATGTCACAGGAGGGTGATCGAAAAGTTATCAGAGGATGACCAGGCCAAGTCAGAATGTCATTGAAGGACAACATAAAAGCTCTCGGAGGATAGTCGAAGGTTGCCAAAGGATGGTTGGAAAGAGATTGAAATATTGTCAGAGGATTGCTGGGCAAGTCAGCATGTGGCCGGAGGGCAACCAGATGATAATTGGAGGATGGTTGTGACAGGTTGGAACATCACTGGAGGGTGATTAGAAGGTCATCAGAGGATAGTCGGAGGTCGCCAAAAGATGGCCGAAGGCGACCGAAACATCGCCATAGGACAGTCGGGCAGGTCAGAACATCGCCAGAGGGCGATCGAAAGGTCATCGGAGGATGCCCGGAGGTGAATGAAAAGTTTATGGAGGATGACCGGAATGGCGCTGAAGATTGTTGGAGTGGCACCGACCTTCGACGCCAGAGGATGGCCGAAACGACGCTGNGGTCAGAACATCGCCAGAGGGCGATCGAAAGGTCATCGGAGGATGCCCGGAGGTGATCGAAAAGTTTATGGAGGATGACTGGAATGGCGCTGAAGATTGTTGGAGTGGCACCGACCTTCGACGCCAGAGGATGGCCGAAACGGCGCCGNAGTTTATGGAGGATGACCGGAATGGCGCTGAAGATTGTTGGAGTGGCACCGACCTTCGACGCCAGAGGATGGCCGAAACGACGCTGTTAAATGACTGAAGAGGTTGTCAGAGGACAACCCGAAGAAGAAGAGCCTCAAAAATTCTAATGTGGAGGATCCCTCAAAGGACAACCACAGATCATACTATCCTTGACCAGAGGACTCACGAGCCTAGGCTTTGATACCATGTGAAAGAAGAGAATAGAGAATGAATAACAAATGTATATTGCTTTGGTGTTTTTTACCATTTACACGAGGAGGTTGATTTACAATATAAAAGAGTAGTGAGGTTTTCTAATTTAACGAATATGGAACAAACATATAAACATTAACAATTTTTAAACCAATTCATCAATCTTAACCCAATTAGACATGAATTTAGATTCATTAATTATGTTTAATAAATAAGTCTATACAATTTTTTTTTAAACATGATTTTTCTATGACACTATTCCATTATAAACAAGTACAAACAAATCAAGCTATTGAGACTATATGAGCTAAACATGTTAACATTATATCATCAACACAGCTGAGTAACTCATACATGTCACTAGCCTGACACGATGCCAATCGAACTATATACGATTATATAAACGGATCGAGAATGAGTTGTTATTTTTTATATAATATGACATGTCCTAACTTGTACCTACTATATAGAAATACACACACATATATATCTATACTACTTCTAAATGTCAATAAAAGTAAAAAAAATTTGTTTGACTAAAGTAACCTCAACAAATTAACAAATGCCTATCCTATCTTTAGGTAGTTAATAACGTTATTAAATTATGTATAAATTCTGTGGACTCTTGAGCTGCTAACCATCATTACATCCATTCCTCTGCGGTCAATGGCCAATCTTCGAAGGCACTTTCACCAAACGCATCCATTACTTCCACACCTTCGGTGCCTACGATTATTTGCAGTATCTAATCTCTCTCTCTCTTGATGCAGGCGATTTGCTCATGTTTTGTGCGGCTCTAAGGGCACCAATGCGGTACTTTCTGTGGAGTATTATTTCTGTGATCAACCTAATCCTATTTTACAGGTTTGTCTATTAAGATTTACTTGTGTATTTATGTATGTATAATTCACCAAAATGTTAGTGAAAATTGGATTGAGATAANGGCACCAATGCGGTACTTTCTGTGGAGTATTATTTCTGTGATCAACCTAATCCTATTTTACAGGTTTGTCTATTAAGATTTACTTGTGTATTTATGTATGTATAATTCACCAAAATGTTGGTGAAAATTGGATTGAGATGATCAATATGGTGGTTTTTTTTTTTTAAAAAGTTGGTGCATTAAGATTGGTGATTGTAATGGCAAGCCTGTTGAGATTGAATTTAAGTTAATTTGTTCATTTTAGGATTTTTCTTGTTGAGTTGGTTAGATGTGTTTGTGAAACAATATATGCGGGGCTATTGTTTCCTTTCATTTGCTTGCTTAGAATAAGGGCATTGTTGGCTTGTTATACCTAACTTTATTTTAATTTTGCTTTTGTTGTGGTTGTGGCTGTTTAGTTGTATCTTTTTTGGTTTATATTTGCAATCTGGGGGATGTGAACTTTTTGTTGTTATTTTTTTGGGCTCAAAAACCATCAATTCATTGGTACCAAACAAACAATCAATACAAGTTTAGTCATTTCATCCTATACCAGCTTGGACATCCCTAGAATATATATTCTGCAATTCTGTAGGCAAACAATAGTTCCATTGTGCATGAAGATTTCCTCTAATAGTCTGAGTCTGAGAGGCTACCCAATAGACTGTTACTTTCTCTTCCAATCACCCTCCATTCCAGAGCAGTCATTTTCTTAGCAAACTCCCAAGTATCCAGTTGGATCATTTCTTTCTCACTTGGATGTCATTTTGTAGAGACTCAATCAACATCTTCGAATCAGATTCTATGATGGTTGCTGGACANAGACTGTTACTTTCTCTTCCAATCACCCTCCATTCCAGAGCAGTCATTTTCTTAGTAAACTCCCAAGTATCCAGTTGGATCATTTCTTTCGCACTTGGATGTCGTTTTGTAGAGACTCAATCAACATCTTCGAATCAGATTCTATGATGGTTGCTGGACAGTTATTTTCCACTGCAATTATGCAGGCTCTTATTACTTACTGCTCATGCCTCAGTCAACAGTGGGGATCTTGCTGACATCACCCCAGATTCACACCATAGGATGCTACATCAGGGTTCCTAACTATTATGTCGTATGCCTCTTTCTGATCCTCCTCCTTAAAAGTACCATCACAATTAATCTTGATCCATCCCAATAGAGGTGTAGTCCAAGCAAGTTCTCTTCATTCCCTTCCCCATCTTTGACATCTCGGCCTACTATTACTAATTATTTCATCATTGGTCAATACAACTTGGTTTATTACTGCTTTATATGACATCAATCTGTGCTGAAAGACCCATTAGTTTCTTGCTTTCCAGAAGGACCATGACAAGAATGCCACCAATGATTGTCCTATACCTTCTTCCATTCCATTATAATATAGAGATATCACGACTTCCAAAAACCATTTTTCTATTCTTGTGACTTTAGCTCTATCTATCAGAAAGTTTAATGGGTATTCACTCCGTATCTCTATGAGTCCAGGAACATATCAAAAATAGAAGCTCCAATGTCTCCTCCTCCTCTCCACAGATCAGGCACTTGGGAGATTCATCATATTTCTTCTCCATAGACTCCATTTAGTTGGCAAAGATCCTGTGACAATATTCCAGAGAAACATTTTAACTTTTGGTGGGGCCTATAACTTCCATATAATTTGCCATAACTCCTTAGGCATTGTAAATGAACGTGCAACTTTATTACTCCTTCCTTGATAACATGTTCTAGATTGCATCCTGTTATAACCACTTCTCACAGCATACTAACTGTTAAAAGTATTAGACCACCTCATAATATCTCCCAGCCTCCTGATCTGTTTGGCTTAGTGACAATGCCAAATTTACTTTAGACATATCCGGAGAAAAGATGGACTCAACAAGAATATGTTCCCTTTTATATGGTCCTTATTAACCTGCTCCTCCACTTATACGAAAGTGTTGTTTCCTTCATTAGGTAGGTTCCCAAATCCAGTTACCCAGTATGATTTTTGCCTTTTTTGGAGGTTGTCCACTACGTGGTCTTTTTCTAGAATTGACTCTGTTTCCGATTAAGTTATCATACCCATGTTTTTGTTATTTTGTTGCATCATCATAATGGCTAAATCATACTAACAAGGGGCCTATTAAGTTTTACCAGATTATAACTGCTTTTTAATTACCCATTGTAGTTGATTGTGGTTGTTGATTTTGTTTGTTGTCTGATTCATATAACCTCTAGAGCTCTAAGTTACAATGAACTTTTGACTCCAATTCTAAACGAGTTTAAAATAAAATGTATGTTGAAGTTTTGATTTCTATGGGGTCATTGCCTTAGGCAATAGTAAAATGCTCGGGCTAGCAATTGTAAAGATTCACATGGGACAATTATTTTGTGGGAAAAATACCAAATGTTAAGTGCAGCAAATCTCAAAATTTTACAATTTCAATTTTGATGTCCTTTATTCTTTTTTATCGCTTGATTTTTTTAAAAATTAATGTATATTAATTAATTATCCCTAATTCCAAAGGTCGCCTTTCTATTTTCCATCTTAACCTCGTTGTATTTGACAGTCATTTCCTCCATCACCACCATCTTCCTCATCAAATTAACTTTTGGGAAAAGTTCTCTTCAAGAGGTTGGCTAAGGAGAGCAATATTGATGGCCAACCTAATCTCTTCAACATTGACCCTAGAATTAGAGTGGCCAAGGCAGGTGAGTAGGTTATTCTAAGCAACTGTCAATGGCATTCATCACAGTATTACAATATTCAAGACTATTGCATTTAGGCACTATTTGGTTTGTGTAATAGGAAACAGTATATGAAAATAATTTTTGAAAAGAGTTTTAGAAAAACATTTTTGATGTTTTATGAGACAGAAAACTTGTTTGGTTAGATAATTTCAAAAACAATATTAAAGAACAGAAAACAGTAAAACTTGTTTGGATAGCTTAAATATATGGTTGGACAATAATTCAAAAATTAATAAAAAAAATATGAGGAAGTTTTTTTTTAGATGGACATTTTCATAAGAAATTCAATAAACCAAACTTTAAAATATAAGAAAATTCAATGATCTTCAATTTATAACAGATTCAATATCAATTTATGTATAAATTCAATCAACCAAACACCAATAAATTTTTTTGAACCAAAAAATCTTAGATCAATGACAATGCCAATAACGAGATCAATATCAAAAAATCTCAAATCAATAATAGATGCAGTATCAATGAACCAAAAATCTTGAGATTTGAAGCCCCTTGGTTTATATATATATAACCAGATTTGAACCAAAAAAATTAGATTAGTTTAAAAAAACAAAATCAGATATGTGTTTAATTATTGATTGAACTAGATAAAAAACCAGATCTGAACCAAAAAATAGTTGTGTGTGTTTGTGTTTCAAAGTAGATCCAGTCGTCGAAGAAGATGCTATGTGTGTGTGTATGTGTGTGTGTGTGTGTGTGTGTGTGTGTTTTGGTGGAGAAGACGTTCCATTTAAGAGTGTTTATGGAGAGAGAGAAAAATGGGGAGAGTGAGAGTCTGGGAGAGAGAAAGGCAAAAGAAAAAAAAAAGATTTTATAGTATGACTTGTTTTGCTTCTAAGGTGATTCAAACGGGTGACATCATTAAAGAGTTCAATTGTTCTTGGCGTTTTTCAATTTTCCCTTCTTTTGTCTTCAAAACACCCAAAACAAGTTTAGCTTGTTTTCTATTTTTTGTTCTTTAAATCCCTCTTTTTTTGAAAATTAGAGAACTAAAAAATCAAACAAAACAACTTCTCCTTATTTTTAGAATTTTGAGAACGAAAACCTGTTTTTAAAAACTAAACCAAACAGGCCCTTACTTTCTCATTTTGGGTTTCTCGGCAAATTTGGTGATCTATTTTGGTACTATTGCCATATCTAGACCATGGAATCTATTGCTGATGTTTTTGATGTTAACATCATCGGACAATTTGGAATGGGTTTCTACTTTGCTTAATGGGTTGTCGACAAAGTGATTGATATTATATCTGGCAATGACTTAAGTGGTTAGACTCATCTCAACACAAATAATTGTGTGGTTAGAGTCCACTTTATTTTTTATATGATTAGTCATGTCATCCAAATCCTGTTTTATTTGTGGATTGTAGACCACTTCTTCCTATTTACTTTTAAACTTAAGTTCATATTTCACACTCAATTCTTAGTTGGCTTTCATTTATTTGACTACCTTTTTGTTCAGTGTACATATTCATTACATTCTTTCAATACTTGAAGAGTGCTATATTCAATTTCTCATTTNGATTCAATATCAATTTATGTATAAATTCAATCAACCAAACACCAATAAATTTTTTTGAACCAAAAAATCTTAGATCAATGACAATGCCAATAACGAGATCAATATCAAAAAATCTCAAATCAATAATAGATGCAGTATCAATGAACCAAAAATCTTGAGATTTGAAGCCCCTTGGTTTATATATATATAACCAGATTTGAACCAAAAAAATTAGATTAGTTTAAAAAAACAAAATCAGATATGTGTTTAATTATTGATTGAACTAGATAAAAAACCAGATCTGAACCAAAAAATAGTTGTGTGTGTTTGTGTTTCAAAGTAGATCCAGTCGTCGAAGAAGATGCTATGTGTGTGTGTATGTGTGTGTGTGTGTGTGTGTGTGTGTGTTTTGGTGGAGAAGACGTTCCATTTAAGAGTGTTTATGGAGAGAGAGAAAAATGGGGAGAGTGAGAGTCTGGGAGAGAGAAAGGCAAAAGAAAAAAAAAAGATTTTATAGTATGACTTGTTTTGCTTCTAAGGTGATTCAAACGGGTGACATCATTAAAGAGTTCAATTGTTCTTGGCGTTTTTCAATTTTCCCTTCTTTTGTCTTCAAAACACCCAAAACAAGTTTAGCTTGTTTTCTATTTTTTGTTCTTTAAATCCCTCTTTTTTTGAAAATTAGAGAACTAAAAAATCAAACAAAACAACTTCTCCTTATTTTTAGAATTTTGAGAACGAAAACCTGTTTTTAAAAACTAAACCAAACAGGCCCTTACTTTCTCATTTTGGGTTTCTCGGCAAATTTGGTGATCTATTTTGGTACTATTGCCATATCTAGACCATGGAATCTATTGCTGATGTTTTTGATGTTAACATCATCGGACAATTTGGAATGGGTTTCTACTTTGCTTAATGGGTTGTCGACAAAGTGATTGATATTATATCTGGCAATGACTTAAGTGGTTAGACTCATCTCAACACAAATAATTGTGTGGTTAGAGTCCACTTTATTTTTTATATGATTAGTCATGTCATCCAAATCCTGTTTTATTTGTGGATTGTAGACCACTTCTTCCTATTTACTTTTAAACTTAAGTTCATATTTCACACTCAATTCTTAGTTGGCTTTCATTTATTTGACTACCTTTTTGTTCAGTGTACATATTCATTACATTCTTTCAATACTTGAAGAGTGCTATATTCAATTTCTCATTTTGGTTTCTCTTTGCAGATCTAGAAAACAATCTTTGACACCATTGCATGATCTAGCACCATGGCGGCTTTGGTTGATGGTGCAGATGTTGGCGTAGTTAGTTAAATTTTAATGGTTTTCTACTATGTTTACTTGTTTGTCGAGAAGGTTATTAAGACCAATATGTCTGGGAATTTCATGTTCTTTCATTGTCACCAGGGATTTGAAGTCGATGATGAAGACTAAGATATTCACCCCATTTGTTGATCTAGATTGTATTTTTTACTACAAGGTATTTCATTTCTTGTCATTGGTCACACTGTATGTTGCATCAATACACGAGTGTGCAATATAGATATTGAGTTAGATATATTCTTTAATACAAGGTTATCAAGGCCTTCAGTTTTAAGAATCAAGAATTTTTGTTTTGTTCATAGTTAAGTTCTTAATTCTTTGAACTATGTTATTCTATTTTATGAAATCTTGGCAAATTAGTATACTTTCTTATTACTGAGATGAGATATTATGTGTGTTTTATGATATTGAACCATGTTATGGAGTGTAGCACCCATATATTCTATAGTGAGAACGAAACTTTGTCGGCAATTGTAATCAAATATGAGAGCTCAAATGCAGCAATTGTTAGAGGTACTAAAATTCAATAAATTAGATGGTGTCCAATATTGGACTGTCTGATATACATCCATGTATAAATAATCGTCGAACAAAAGTAATTATGATCACATAGAACAAAGAGTGCATTTGTTTCTATGATATAAGAGGTAGTAATTGATTACACATGTTTTGAGGCATATGCAATTTTTACGTTTTGAGATAAAAATATGATTCTTTGAAGTACAAAACAATAACTCTACATGTCATTAGGCTAGAGCTTCATTATAGCATGCCAAACTTTCTAGGATAGCTATATGCATCCTTTGAAATAGCGTTGTTGTTTTTTCCTTGATTTGTTTAAATCAAAGGCCAGATCCCAAATGTTATGAAGTAGAGTCTATCATTCTCTATTTTTCTATTTTTCTTTAACACTTTATGTACAAGTGTTTAACTGATTGTTACACCTCTGCTCAAGAATGTGCTAATCAGTACAAAATGAAATTACATAATGGATGATCAACATAAGATTGAACCTAATGTTTAACAAGTCCTAATAATGATGCAATTGTAATTTGGTTAAAGTGACTTCAAACATGCATTGCCATTGCCCGAGCACCATGAAGAAGTGCAAAACGGTGAGATATTTGAGTTATAGAAATGCTCCTTACTACACGTATATGCAATCAAAGAACATAGTTCAATTTGTTTAGCATTCGAATCACTCCGAAACAATTTTGACAAATTTAAAGAAACAAAATCCAAGCTTGATCCACAAAAATGAATTTTGCATTTACTGCAATTAAAGATGCCAAAATTAAAAAACTTGGCGAGCTTTTTGCGAGACCCATATTGTTATTATTTTTGTATTGTTGTTATTAGCAATTTTTATTTGGGTGCAGTTGCAATCCTGAGGAAATCACTTTCAAGGACACAATATATGGTCGCATTTATTTTAAGAATTTGTTTAGCTTACTTGCTGATCTTCCAAGTCCCTCATGTGTCCATTTTAACTACTTGATGATTCAGATATGTAGTTATAGTGCAAGCCTTTTAACTGATTTTGCAGACAAGTAAATCACATGATTTAGGCATTCTTTGTTGAATTATATTAGATAACTTCAATTCCACTGCTAAGCACATATATATATTTATGTTTTTAATAGATTGTGTTTTTACCACATGTTTTCTTAATAAGAAGCATCTCTATAAGCTTATTGCTTAGGTGTTCTGCTGTGGTGACCATCAAAATTTCTTATATAAAAAGATAGGAAACAAAATATATCTTAGTTGAAGACATGAAGCCAATTCAGCACCTCCTTGTCCTCATCATTCATCAGGTAGGTATAAGCTCCAGCCCGATGCAGTGCTGCCCAGAATTAATAAGTTGTGTGCCCTTTCAGCTAATGTACTCTTGAACTTTGCATTATTCATACTGGCACCTTCCCTATATGTTTGTGTGGGTATATGTTTATGTGTGTGTGTCAATGTGTGTATATGAACTGAGAAGGATAGAATTAAGAACAAATACATCCGGGAAAAAGTGGAGGTAACACATATAGGAGATAAATTAAAGGAGAATTGACTTAGGTAGTTTGAAGATATTTACAAACGGCCTACTACAGCATTGGAGAGAGAGAGGGATATATACGATAGCCATTAGCGGTAAACGTAGAGGTAATGAAAGACCACAATTAATTTAAATGAAATAGTATATGATATGTTGCGGTTTAACTGAACCCCTAGGGGTGGTTGGATCTATCCTTTAGTACTTTAGAAGCCTAAGGTTTAATCTCTTTCTATAGCTCTTAAGGGTTAATCACTTTTGTACCTAAAAGGACATGCTCACTGTAGTCAGTCGCTAAGTTCGAGAGAATAGTCAACGTAAATTTAGACACCTTATAGCAAAAAAAAAAACTAAAAACATGATTCTTAATAGAGCACAATGACGAAATAATATTCATCTAGTCGACCTCAAAAATATGGGGACAAAATTTTATTGAGGTAAGTATACGAATAGAAAAGTAAAGTTGCAAAGAGTTTTAACACATTGCAATAGTACCCAATATGAGGACTCACCATAGAAAGAATGGAATCTGATAATGAAGAGGCCAGCTGGTGGAAGAGTGGTGTTGTTACCTTTGGCAACCTGTGATTTTTGATTTTTGATTTTTTTTTTTGTCGTCAACATCATAATTAAGATTAAAACAACAATATGGACTATGCAGCAGAAGAGCAAAGAGTGACGTGGCATACCAAGAACATGTACTCATCGTGGCCCCATGACATTTTGACTTTGTCAAACCCACAGTTCTTACTATAGATACCCAGCTCGGTGTTGGGGCTAGGGTTTTGATTGTCTGGATTTTCTTTGAAAAACTGCCAAATTGTACAAAATAGACCGACGATCAATAAAAAAAAATCTAGTGTTTTTTGGGAACCGTTGAATGTTAATGACGATTTTCAAAAATATAATGTTTTAAATATTTTTTTTACATTGCGTTTGTTTTATGTTTTACATTTTTTTTGTTCAGGTAATATGTACGTATAAGTATGTATATTCCTCTGGTATTAAGATTGATAGAAATATTTTTTACAAACTATTAAAAAGAAATCGATGATAGAAAATGAAAAAGATGGAGAGTGAAGTGAAAAAAATGAAATGGAAAACAAAAAATTATTTTCTTGCATGCGTTTGATTAGAATGAAAAGTTTGCTGGACTAAATTATCATTATCATATAAATTTAAAGGGGAAAAAGGTAAGCGGACAAAACAGAAAAAATAAGACAACTTTCACGGAAAGCAAAAATTTTTCCGCACAATTTGGGGAAAATCAAAGTAGATGTTTACAAAAAAATTTGACCCTTGAGGGAAAAAAAAATTTCATGGGAAATTATGTTTTCTAGCTAATCAAACAAAAGAAAAGTTGCTTTTTTTTTTTTTTTTTCATTTTCTTGCACTTTCTAGTGTTTTGACACTAATCAAATGAAACCGTATAACAAAATATGCATTCAGTATTTGATGAAATTATATTATTGCCTAAAAAATCACTTAAGAAAAGCGTTAAGAAACATTACGCATTAGAGAATTTGAGAAAAAAAACAAGAACATTATATAAAGAGAGTTTACCTGGTGATGAACTATGGACTCACTAAAGGCACATGCAAGTGGGAATGTGTCACCTGAAAAATTGGATTCATGTCGTAACCACGAATGCAAAACATGCATGATTTTGAAGATTTTTTTTTGCAATAAAAAAAAAGAAGTTACATGCACAATTCAATTATAGATGAAACATTAGACGTACCAACCACACACCACTGGGGATCCTCACCAAATGCAGGGTGCAGTAGAACCTTACCCAGATCTACAGTTGTATTAACAATCAGAAAAAAATTATTTTATCCACTTATCAGCCAAACAAACACACTCATACGGTACCATGGATTAGGGCAGTGAGATGAAGCCAATCTTCATTTGGGTAGTCCCTCCTGATGGCTTCAGCAGTCTGGAGCAGAAGTTCGATCTGCGGCTCGTCGAGATCGGGATCACTCTCGTCGACGTACTCGTTGAGGAGTTCGCAGCATTCCCATATGCTCATCACAGCCTTGGCAAGCTTCCCCATACTCTTCTTTCTTCTTCAAAGCCTGATAACAATTGTCTCATGATTCAAGAGGTAGACAAGTTTGGTTCGTAAAAACTTGTATGTGTGCTCATGAGTCGTGTCGTCTTAAAATCACCCTGGCCCATTTTATATACGAATGAAGTTGCTCTTGACTCGACATCCTTTGTTCTTTTCTACCAGAACCCCTCTTTTTGATGGAGGTTGTAACGTAAATAGTCCATGATGGAGCTCGAGTAAAAAATAGTTATTAATTTATCGGGGCAACGTCTAGGGTTAATGTCAATCAATAACCTAGTGGGTACCTCCTCCATAGGAAGTGTTCACTTATATGGCAGGGGGGAAGACGACTCTCTTCCGATGTGGGATTGCCTTAGGAAAGGGTCCTATTGGCGAAGAGAGGTAAAGGCTACTGGGACTCGGTGCCGCCAGGTCAGCCGGAATCCTTCAAATGAAAGGATGAGATCCGTAGCGATTTGTACCCCATACAGAGACTAATGGTAATACAGCAGAATGGGAACTCGCCATTTATAGGAAGAAATGTCAGTGGTGCGGAAATCCTATAGGTTAAAGGACTGTTATTGGTACCAAATTACAATATTTGCCAATTATGTTTTATGCCAAGTGGGGACACTTCGGATTGACCAAAAAGGCCTAAATTGTTTCACTTATGATGTTTATTGCTGGGTGTCTTTTTTTTTTTTTTTTGGAGTATTATGTGTAATTTGATTAATCTTCTCCTTAATCTGTTATCCACGTCAAAACTAAAAAATTCGTAAAAGATAAATTCTCATGATCTGATTCTAAGATAATTGTCAAATTTTAAAATGACGACTTTTAAAAAGAGGTGTTTCTAAGAAAAATTACCAATAAACTTAGAATAAAATCGTAATAATAAAGCTATTTTTATAATTGAGAATCACTTGTTCAAATCTCGCAAATAACTTATCTGTGTAAAAGATAAATCTATATAAATTTGAGTATAATAAAATCCAATAATAACGACACTCAATTTTTTTTGTTATCTTTATAACTATTGTAATATTGTTTTTAATCAATTTCATAGTTTATCATTATAGAATGAAATCGTTGTTGAAATTAATATGGTAAATTGCAAAAACAAATATTGTAAATATTTTTTAATTCAAAAAGTTTTCTAGATGTTATTTTATGAAAAATATATTTTGAAAATACGATTTTTATACTTTCATGCCATGGCAATTAAAAAAAATTACAAATAACTACAAAATGTTAATTAATTAAGATGCAAAATGCTCATAGTATAGTCAAAATATTTATATAATAAATCAACTAGTAAATTGAATTTTATCTCGTATATATTTTTCCCTCAAAAAAATCACATCACCTAATTCTATCACATGTTCAATCATTTAATATTTAGTTAAATTGTAATTTAACACAACTTTTATTTCATACATTATTGATATATGATAGTGTACACATGTAAAAAAAATATATATCGAGTTATGTATTCTGAGAAAATTTTGACTCTATTTTTAAAAAAATAATATGTAAAAATTTAATTATAAATGATGTAAGCAAAGAAATTAATTTTAAAATTAGTATAGCTGGATTAATTTTTTAAAGGCTAAAATCTTATATTTCATTGTGCTTTCAGACACGAATTATCACTAATAGTAAATAAGTGTGAAATAAGATGATAATTTTTGGTCTTTTATGGAAGAGCAATGCTACATGAACTTAAAAATAGTAAATTTAAAAATTAGATTTAATAATCTCAACTATTGATTTTACTGTGGGTCCCAACATTTATTGAGACTCGCTACTTATTCAATAGTTGAGATTATTATCAAGTCTAATATTTAAGTTCATCTAGCATTACTTTTTATTAAAAGTCCTTCTCATCTAAGTTCTACATGACAGGAATTAAAATATTATTTCGTTCATTTTTATAGTCACGTAGTAAACAAATTTATTTTGAAAATAGAATAAAAATGGAAAAAAAATTTAAGAGTTTATTTATAAAATATTTTTAAATATTGGTCAAAATGTATTAAAATATCTTAAAATACCTAAAAATATTAATAAAAATATACCGAAATATTTTAAAACGCCTCAAAATATTATAAAAAAATTTGAAATATTTAAATTTTAATTTAATAACTAATTTTTTTTGCTTTTTAATAAAAAAAAACCGAAACATTTTAATTTTAATTGTTTTGAAAGAAAATTTTGATTATTTATGGGGAGTAACACCGACTCCCTTCCGTGTGTGGCAATTCCGTAATACAAAGCAACCGTTAAGGGCACATATGTAATAGTCCATGAATAAGCTCCGAAGAAGAAGACGACAATTTTTCAGGCGTCAATGCGAAGAATAGGAGTACAAAGTACAACGTCGGCAATTTGTTGCGTAGATATTGGAATCAACTCAGAGCTGACGTGTCGAATTTTAGGGCAATAGCTGTGACTGTGAGATTGCGCCACGCGTCGTATCTCCTCTGCCGGTAACATCTGGCACAGACCTTCCCTGGGCCATTGCCACATATGTTTTAGATCTTTGTTAAAAATAATTATTTTCTGTATTTAAAAAAATAGAATTTATATAATCGACCCAAAAAAATTTTGCTTAGTTGAATTGAATATACGAAAAAAAATAGATCATCTTAAATTTTGAATAAAAATGTAAATTTAGTCACATAATCCTTTTAAACTCCTAACGTTCTCGTGCTCTAAGAGTACCCCCGGGGGTAACCTTCTGATCGGGAATATCAAAGATGACCAATTAACTGATTGACTGTTAAAATTTTGAAAAATTTAGAGGATGAATGTCTCGTAAAAATTTCAAGTATCAAAATGAGAACAAGTATATATGAGGGTCAAAAATGCAATTAATTCTAAATTAGTGGTGCATATCCTTTTGAGTGNTTATATGAGGGTCAAAAATGCAATTAATTCTAAATTAGTGGTGCATATCCTTTTGAGTGGGTCCAATGATTGTGCTTTCTCTCCTGAAAAGGGCCTTCTGGGGCCAAATGGAACCGAAAGAGTCCCCGAACTCTTCGTATTCTCTCAGCCTGTTCTCTCTCTGAGTCAATTTTCATATAAAATGTACCCGACAAATCAATTTAGGTGTTAGCTCTGTGATGACGGTGTCGTTTTTCATCAATGGCCATCCCTACTTCACATCTTCCTACACGAATTCTCCAAATTTTCTGTCTGTTATTCACAATACCCTTTTTTCTAACCGCTTTTTCAGCTTCAATTGGTGATTTATCAATCATCGATTACGATTACGATTACGATTACGATCACGATCCATTTCACGGCGATTACTCACCACCATCACCACCACCGCCATCTCCACCGCCACACACACCGTCACTATCATGCGACGAATTAAGAGGCATTGGGTCTTTAAACACAACGTGCGAGCTGAATTACAGCTTGAATTTCACAGACGATGTGTATATAGCAGGAAAAGGTAATTTGTATATTCTTCCCGGGGTGAATATTACTTGCCCTATATCAGGCTGCTCAATTAGCGTCAATGTTAGCGGTGAATTCAGATTGGGTTCGAGTTCGAAGTTGGAATTGGGGACAGCGTATGTGGTGGCTGGAAATGTGAGTTTATTGGAGGGGTCTATGATTAATGTGACGGCCTTGGCTGGGGCGCCACCGGAACATACGAGTGGGACACCGAAGGGTTCACAAGGTGGTGGTGGAGGGCATGGTGGGAGGGGTGCGAGTTGTGTGATGGACAATACGAAGTTGCCAGAGGACGTGTGGGGCGGGGACGCATATTCATGGTCGTCGTTGGATAAGCCGTGGAGTTATGGGAGTAAAGGTGGGACGACGAATAAGGACGAGGACTTTGGTGGAGGAGGAGGTGGGAGGATTTGGATTGAGGTGAAATGTAACGTCGAAGCTCACGGGAGTCTTTTGGCTGATGGCGGTGATGGTGGCCTCAAAGGAGGAGGAGGTTCTGGTGGCAGCATTTACATCAAGTCCCAGAAAATGTAAATTATCCTGTTTGATCATATTGACTCTATTTGGTCTTTGCTTAATTCTTATGCATTTGAACTTGTTCTATTTCAAATTGTACTGTTGGACGTTTATATATTTGATGATGTTGTCCATGATTTGTCATGCCCAATCTTTGTGTACTGGAGAGTTCCTTTGCTTTTCCATAGTCTTATTTGCCTGATGCATGCTTGATTGCTGATGACATGATTTCTGTGTTCTCCATATAGTTGGTTTGCTTGTATTAGAACAAAACTTATCTTTCGGTGAAGAAAATAGAAATAGAATATATATGTTTAGGCCTTTTGTTTTGGGTTAAGATTATGACCTTCTAAGATTCCTTTGTCCTATATTTAGGGACCTTCGTTCCTTTTTGGATGTCCCAAAAATGACTGTATTGCACCTATAACATTCAGAATCTGTCATTTATAAGGAACAATTTGAAAACCTAATTTTGGAGGGAAACTGGAAATTTCAATTAACATGGAGGATAGCTTTGAAAACGGGAAGATTCTTGTTGTGATCTAAATGAATTTTTTTTTTATTATAAGCTAAAATTCCAAAAAAAAGGTTTCCTAACTTTGAGACGGNCGAAGATTCTTGTCGTGATCTAAATGAATTTTTTTTTTTATTATAAGCTAAAATTCCAAAAAAAAGGTTTCCTAACTTTGAGACGGATCAAGTATTATAGATGACAGATGAGATTTTTGCAAGAGGTGAGAGAATGGAGGGTCCCTCTAAGAGAAGCACTACATACAGTCGCCAAAGGAAATTAAATCACCTCACTAATAGTCGTCTTGGTATTTCGTGTGTATCTAGATGATGACAGGCTGAATGTTGATTTGTCCTGTTTTCCTTTTTGGGGGGTAATCTAATTTTGTTAAAGAGTAATAAGTAGAGTGCTACAGTTAGATCTAGTACAGAGAGGTTTCACATACTTCTATTGAGTTAACATGGTTGTAATATTTTTCTGGAAATTGATTTTCCAACCCAAGTTCCACTTTAGTTATTTTGGGATAATCAAGTAGCTTTAAATTGATTTTTCACATACAGCCACCAAAGGAAATTAAATCACCTCACTAATAGTCGTCTTGATATGTGTATCTACATGATGACAGGCTGAATGTTGATTTGTCCTGTTTTCCTTTTTGGGGGGTAATCTAATTTTGTTAAAGAGTAATAAGTAGAGTGCTACAGTTAGATCTAGTACAGAGAGGTTTCACATACTTCTATTGAGTTAACATGGTTGTAATATTTTTCTGGAAATTGATTTTCCAACCCAAGTTCCACTTTAGTTATTTTGGGATAATCAAGTAGCTTTAAATATAGTTTCTAGTCTTCGAGACAAGATATTGAGTACGGATGTAACTATGTAGTGTATCTGGGGAACAATTGGCAATGTTTTCACAAAAGCATTAGGTGGTAATCAGCTAAAGGTTGTTTGTTCCAGGCTGGGATTATATGACATAAATTATCCTGTTTGAGAGAGGAAAAAGTGCTAATGAGTATGCCCCTCATAGGGGTACTGGTCATTCAACTATCGCCCCCAATGCAACTATATATAGAATGACAGTGAGTAGTAGGGATAAGTTTTGACCTACTCTCTGCACCTAACTCTCTTTCCTATCTTAATAACTCTTCCAACTATCAATAGCAGATTAGTGTATTGTAAAGATTGATTACTCTACAAAATTACACTGACTGTGCAAGGTCCTAGGTGTCCCATATTGGAATCAAAGCAACTTTGTGAATTCCTTTCTTTATTGAAGTTTTTTTTTTTTTTCTCCTTGAGCTTCTAATGGGCTGCATTAGGGAGACTAATGTGCTCATCTTTCAATGGTTGAGTAAATTATTTTTTCCTTCTTTATGGTAAGGGATGGGGTTGGACTTTTATGAGTAGATTTAGGTTTCAAACGGCATTCTGAATGTACCCAAAAGCAACTGGATCCCTGTTTTTAGATATCCCTTCTTTGTAGGGCATTAAAATTGTAGTTACATTGTGTACCTCAAACAAAGCCAAACAAAATTTTCTCAGCATGCATTAGGACTTTATTCATTACTGGGTGCAAAACTGACAGACGTAATGATTAGGTAAATTTCGACTTCTGTTGCCTTTTGAATGTGGTCATTTAATGTAACAGAACTTTTTGCTGATATTGTACACCAATCAACTTACCATGTGCTTGTTAGTTGTACATAATCTAGAGATATCACTAACGTACTATATATTGATATCGATTTGGTTATGCACAAGTGCACATTGCACGTGAGCTAGATATGCCCCTATGAACCTATATATAGGATTAGATTTGATCATGCACTAGTGCCGCATTCAAGTGATGTTTTGAAAGGCGGTGTACTGGCTTGAAATGTTTGGCCCTAATTATTCTTCCATGAAGAGCAGGAGAGGAAGTTGCAGAGCTAGTGCTTCTGGAGGTAATGGGTTTGCTGGAGGTGGTGGTGGAAGAATTTCTGTCAAGGTTAAAAGCAGGCATGATGATCCTCAATTCTTAGTTCATGGTAAGGCTTCTCAAAAACCAAAGTTTTTCATATTTGGGTTGTCACTTCCTAAACCTTGCTCTGTTGCCATTAAAATTTAGTTGTTACAAGGTTAGGTTATCCATATGATATTAACCGAACAAGCAGATACAAAAGGAATTCAAGTACAAATTGTAGGGCGTATCGACGGAAAAGAAATTGCATGTGTCGAATGGATGACATACTGTAGTTGAACTGAAAATAAATTAGAGCTGATAATGTTGCAGAAGCTCTAAGATAAGGATTGCTTTTTATGCAATTTCCTTTCTTGTTGCAGATCTACATGAGTGTCAAGTTCGTTTGGGTCACTGTGTGTCATTNCTGTAGTTGAACTGAAAATAAATTAGAGCTGATAATGTTGCAGAAGCTCTAAGATAAGGATTGCTTTTTATGCAATTTTCTTTCTTGTTGCAGATCTACATGAGTGTCAAGTTCGTTTGGGTCACTGTGTGTCATTCTACATTGCATTTTATACAATTGAGAGCTCTGATGTCTTTGTTACATTAATTTGTACTTTGACGTGACTGTATGTTTAAAATGGCATTATCTGTTTAATATAATTATCTTAAAACAGTGCTTTATGTCATCTTTTTCAGTACACAGAGCATTTTTTTGACATAGGTACAGGGTGGTCGTGCTCTGGAGCTCTAGCTTTATAATGAGGAAATAAAAACAAGTAGGAAGTTCTTGTCACATTGGTTGACTCAAGGAAGTGAGACAGCCAGTGGCTAACAAATTTATAAGAAAGCATCTGAAAACTAATGGTTGTGCTGTATGCAATTGGTTTTTGGTGAGTTTTGTGTTAAAATTTGTAAATATAGGTTTTTGTGAGGTAAAAGATGGGTTCAAGGCTTTGGGGATGGAAGAGGGTTGGAACTAGCTTGAACTGAAAGCGTTTGGCTGCAGGAATTTTGGGCAAAGTGTGCAAGAAATATGAGACACCTTGTCTTCTTACCTACAGTATTGGAAACCTAGGGTTGTGCCGTCTACAATTGATTTTTGTGGGTTTTTTATGCAGGCTTTTGTGAGGTAGAGGATGGGTTTGAGGCTTTGGGGATGGATGGGGGTTGAAACTGGCTTGGTTGAAAGTGTTTGTGATGCAGTCCATAAGATGTTGAAGGAAAGACAAATTCAAAGACGTAATAAACTGTGGAATTTAGCTGGATATGAAAACGGAGACCCACATGGAACCTTTCATAATTTTATTTGAATCTTATTTTTTGAGTTGCTTTAGGTTTCTGGTAGTGTTTTATGTGCCTTTTTTATATTTTTTGGAGTTAGGTATATTTTTGTAATTTTTGTATTTGGTGGAATGAGTTGTAGACTTGTAGTATGACCCATGAGTCACCTTTTGGGTCAAATTTCACTGAGTCGTTTCTAATGTAGAGTCATAATTCTAGTCAATATTAGTCTCCTAATGTGTATGTAATTTGGAATTTTTGGAATCCTAATATTTTTAGTATTTGGAAGTACTCATAAGTTTACCTATAGCTATGGTGATGTTTTCAATAAAGAGATGGAGAGAGATATTTTCTAGAAATTTTCAGCAACGAAATGCTTTGAGGATTGTGTGATGCAATTCAAAACCCTAGGAGTGATTCCTTAGGTGTGATGTCAAAGGAACCTAGGAGTGATTCCTAGTTGACTTTTCTTTTTTTTTTTTCTTTTTTTTTTTGAATGTATTCAAGTTCTAAACCCTATAATCAAATTTGATACATTCATCTTTGTATCCTCAAAAATAATATACAAAACCTTAGCCCTTCCTATTTCAATCCATCAGCCCAAAATTACTGTTCACGGCTTGAACAGAGTTTTTTTTTTCCCAGCATTTGCTGCTGTCCTACATCAGTTTGGCTGCAGCAAAAAAAGTGCAAGNTGAACAGAGTTTTTTTTTTGTTTCCCAGCATTTGCTGCTGTCCTACATCAGTTTGGCTGCAGCAAAAAAAGTGCAAGAAATATTGGATATGAGACAGCTTGTATCTATGGGACAGCTTGTCTTATTGCTCTAACCATATTTCTTTCCTTCTATACAAAGAGGGTGTGCTTGGCTGTTTCCTTTTAATTCAAAATTTATATTTCTAAATATCAGAAAATTATGGGGGTATTTAGGAGCAAGAATCTTGAATTCTGAGTAGAAGAATTGTGGCAGTATTTTTTGGCCTGTCCACAATAGTACACCTACATGTATGGCTGACGTACATCGATGATAACTTCATAGTTTGGCTCTTGGTTGACCCGTCATTGGTCGATTGGCTACTTATTGTGACTTCTTAAGGTGGAACTCTTGTTTTATCCCACTTGTTATTTGGTTATGAACTTGTAAGCATAAATGTGCCACACATTGATGTCAGTTGTGAGCATTGAAGATCTGGGCTTCCGAGCTGTATACTCTTGCCCTTAGAAATCTGTCACTGTTGATTTTGTGATTGGGATGACTTTCCTTGGATGTNCATGTGCCACACATTGATGTCAGTTGTGAGCATTGAAGATCTGGGCTTCCGAGCTGTATACTCATGCCCTTAGAAATCTGTCACTGTTGATTTTGTGATTGGGATGACTTTCCTTGGATGTAGAACATGCAAAATTACCCATTGTTGTTCTCATGTTTGCAGGGGGAAGAAGCTTAGGATGTCCTGAAAACTCGGGTGCTGCTGGGACATTTTTGGATGCCATTCCTCGGAGACTAGTTGTCAGCAATCACAACATGTCAACACAAACTGACACACTTCTTTTGGAGTTCCCTAATCAGCCACTGTGGACAAATGTGTATATTAAAAATAATGCCAGAGCTACTGTTCCTTTGCTATGGAGTCGTGTGCAGGTTAATTATAATCAATAGTGGTATTCCTTGTTGAATGTTTATGGCTTACTATTTTCCTATGCGATTAGATTATTGCTGTGGCAAAAGAATTTCAATTAGATATGTATGCATGAATGATCTGGTTTTTGATTTTTGACGTGTATACTCATGTCACCTATCTGGTCAGTGATGCAATATCTAGAATATATTTTGCCATGATTGTGTAATTGTTGGTGCTTAATGTGTCATATGTGCTGGATGGTTTAGGTCATGAGAGAATCTTCTCTCTATTGACGGTTGGCATAGCAGAACAGTTGTTGACATAGGTTGAATTTTGAATACTTATAAGGGTCTCGAACCTTATTTCTTTGGTGATGCAACCAAGAATGTCAAGTGATGGATTCTTATCTTGAATCCACCTAGAAATGCTACTTTTCATTCAGGACACTTGGATGCTCAGAAACACATTACACTGTTAAATATTTGTGGCCAATTTTTTGGGACTTAAGAGCATCTGGCTAAGGTTCTATTTTCCACCGGCTGTCGTTGACACATATACCTCTGTGTTCTGTATGGTCAAATTGTCAAACACAGAAAGGTTTATTTTTGGTCCTAACTTTGTGCTATTTTTCTTTCTGGCATTAGCATGTTGGCAGTTGTTAAAGCATGCTATGTTTATAATGATTAAGTTGACATCTAAGAAGAAAACAGACAACAAAAGCTGTAGAGGCGAGAATAAATGTTGTAAATAATTCCAGTAATTACCTTCCCAAAGTTGAGTGATTGTTTTTTTGTTTGTAACTGCTTCAAGAATTCGAAAAAATTACCATGGGAGATCTGGTCTTGAACTGATTTGCTAACTTATCAAACAGCTCACGAATGACATGTTTATGTCCACTTATCAAAATGTTACTTCTCCTATGTTATCATCATTGTTGTATATTACACGGGATTCCTAAGTCTATTGTATTTCTTATTCAATATCGTGTTGGACGCATATTTTAGGCTTCAGAATCCTAAAACAAAAACTATGAGTCACATAGTAGGCCAAAAGTTATTTGGGAAAAAGGGTAGTGCCCTGGTAGTTTATAGGGCCTTTGTTGCGACTTATTTCAATAATTATTGGACATCAGTAATCGTCATTCTCTGTGGGTCATATATTGGACCAAATTAGGTTTGAAATCTTAAGTGGTCTAGAATCTTCCTAATTGTCAAATACTCGGTTTAAATTTTGTGAGTCTTAGTCCTTATAGTAGTAGGAGAGTCCTTGAGCGTTAATATAACTCTAACCCATTGTTTCTTAGGGTTGATCATACAAGAATTTTTGTTGTGTTTATGTGATGTTTCCTAACCCTTCTGTGGGTTATTGCTATTATTCTATAGTATTCTCTTCCTTCTTCCTGTTATCTGCACTTTTCTTAGATAATACACTGACGAACAAATCTGAATAAGTATTCTTTTAGGAAATAATTCCTATATTGCAAAGCTTTGCTTCTTGAAATCTTTAGCCATTGAACCTTAAAACCACCCTAAAATCCAAAAAATTATGTCCACATGCTGTTGTTCACTGCACAAGAACTGTAACCTGAATGGCCCCCGGACATTTCCTTTTAATTACCAAAACCTTATTTTTACACTCGTTTTGACCCTCTTATTAACACCTATAAACACTAGAAGCCTTGTTGTTCAGAAAACATAATACCTTAGTCCTGCTGCAAACTTCTATTTTGGCGACTAAAACAGTAGGACAGTGGTTTCCCTCACTTGTCTTGCATCATTTCTACTTTATTGAAGTGTGAACAACTGTTCTCTCTCCTATTAGTTGAGTCCTCTTCTCCTTTTTCTTCTTGCTTTGAATTGTCCTCGGGAATAGTTGCTTCTCTGAGTTGCGGCTGTCGTCGCATTTAGATTTAGTTTATTTGTTTTACTCCTTAATATTAGGTTTACTTCCTATGTATTCATACATCAGCCGCTTCTTATTATGTACTCTGAGTCCACTGGTTGTTTTATCTGTCTTCTGTACTAATTTTGAGATGTTATTTATTCTGTTCCTCTGTGATCTATTTACAACACATGTTTATTTGCTTATCTACTTTATAGGTTGGAGGACAAATTAGTTTATCAGGTGGGGCAGTTTTAAGCTTTGGGCTCCCTCATCTTGCTTTATCAGAGTTTGAGTTGATGGCAGAAGAGCTTTTGATGAGTGACTCAGTAATCAAGGCAGGTGGAAGTCATGAGTTTATGAAGTTTTAATCTTATCATCAGCTATATTTTTTAATCTGTTGCACTACGTATGATTTTTACTTTTTTCATATGTTGGAGCACTATTTAGGTTTGTCATATGTTGGAATTGGCAATTTGAGTCATATCCAATCTGAAGAAATTATAAAGCAGAAAAAGTCCTCTGCCCAATAGGCAGAAGCACAAGATTATGGGTTTAGGGATTGCCCTTGCCTCAATTCTGCTGCATCTCCAGTGACTTATTATATATGGGTCCAGTCATTTGAGAGANTCCAATCTGAAGAAATTATAAAGCAGAAAAAGTCATCTGCCCAATAGGCAGAAGCACAAGATTATGGGTTTAGGGATTGCCCTTGTCTCAATTCTGCTGCATCTCCAGTGACTTATTATATATGGGTCCAGTCATTTGAGAGAAATGCACCTTGTTATTTCTTGCAAGGGTTGTTTTTCTCCAAGTCAATTGCTGACGAAGTCTTTGATTTTCCGACATAATTATGTACTCAATTTTGCACACAACATTGTGTTTCGATGCATAGGTTTGGTCAGCTCGGAAAGGGAAATGCTTCGGAAATATTTTCAAAACATCTTAGAAACCGAATGAAAACAAAGAAAGAACTTGGAAAATGTCTTTGAAACAGTCAAAACATTGGCCGAAACACCTCAGAATACCTTGAAACATAGGAATTTTGATATTCGGTCACTGATTCATTTCAGTTTCCTTGGAGACCGGGATGTTTCAATTGTTTTGATGGAAACAAAAAGAAATTTTGATCCTTGCACTTGACCATGATCATTTGTACAGTTCTCTGATGTTTAAATCATTTGCCTCTTTTGCCATCTCTTTCAAACATGCCAGATAGGCCCTAACCTTATTTATTTTGTTTGCATACTTGCTGTGGTGCTAGTGAATCTGCCCTGCTGAGTGATACAACTTTCTTGAGGCATTATTATTTCCTGTACCTGCTGGCTTGCAATTTAATGGGTCTTTGATTTGCAAATGTTTCCTCATAGTTTAATGGTTTTTTATGTCAACATTTTGTTTTCCTTTAATTTTAGATATATGGGGCTTTGCGAATGTCTGTCAAAATTCTCTTGATGTTGAAATCAAAAATCCTCATAGATGGTGATGGTGATGCAATTGTAGCTACGTCCTTGCTTGAGGCTAGCAATTTAGTGGTTCTCAGGGTAAATTATTCCTGTCATATTATTCTGATTATTCTAAATTGTTTGTTTATGTTACTTTTATTTATGGCACATTCAACATGTTGATGCCAGGGATCATCAGTGATACATTCGAATGCAAATTTGGGAGTCCATGGACAAGGTGCATTGAACTTGTCTGGTCCAGGAGATCTTATTGAAGCTCAACATTTGGTTTTATCATTATTTTATAGTATCAAAGTAAGTATGGTTGTGTTTCAAATATGCATTTCTCCAACACCCGATTATGTGGGGGCAATGGAAGTTCATCTTGTTGCTGCAACTAAAATGTCTGAATAATGATGAAACTATGGCATTCTTTGTTTTCTCTTAATCTGGAGTTTGTCTATCTGAGGGGTCACCTCGCTGCCCTTTCCTCCAATTGAGTTGTAGTTGGCCTTGTGTCAGCCAGACTGGCTCCCCAGGGCCCTAGTTTAGTAGGTTTCTTGGTTTTTGCTCCCAAGAACTAGCACACACTCCTCGAAAAACAAAACTACTATGTTAGAGGAATTTTTAGACAATGTGGAAATAGCTGCAGCGTGTGAAAGGTCTTCCTTTTTAGTTGCGGCAGTTGCATCACGAGTACTGGTTTCCAACCCCCCCCCCCCGTCTTTCTTCTTTCTAGTTAGGATTCATTTTGATGAAATATATCTGGTGAAAAGTGCTTTTGCAGTTCTTTACTAGTTTTCTTGATAAAAGATGTTCCAACTACCAACCATGCACCTAGTAGTAATATCAATACATGGCCATGAGCNGCTGGCTCCCCAGGGCCCTAGTTTAGTAGGTTTCTTGGTTTTTGCTCCCAAGAACTAGCACACACTCTCCTCGAAAAACAAAACTACTATATTAGAGGAATTTTTAGACAATGTGGAAATAGCTGCAGCGTGTGAAAGGTCTTCCTTTTTAGTTGCGGCAGTTGCATCACGAGTACTGGTTTCCAACCCCCCCCCCCCGTCTTTCTTCTTTCTAGTTAGGATTCATTTTGATGAAATATATCTGGTGAAAAGTGCTTTTGCAGTTCTTTACTAGTTTTCTTGATAAAAGATGTTCCAACTACCAACCATGCACCTAGTAGTAATATCAATACATGGCCATGAGCTTCAAGATGGTAAAATAAGTAATAAGTAAAATCAAATGGCATTATTAAGCCTTTTCCTATCGCAGTGGTAAAATTCAGGTTTGCAACTTCAAGGTTCGAATTTTATGAGTAATATGTTCGGATTTGATGACAGAAACTTTGTGCGATTAATGTTAAAGGTTAGCACCTCTTTCAGCTCCTTGACTAACTGTAACCAATATGGATTGTAGCCATTATATTAAACAGAGCCAAGGTTTAAAATAATTTACAACATGCACTAAGAAAAGAAATAATCCTTCAACAGTTAGCTAAACATGGCCCATCTTGGGGAGCATAAATTTTGCGTTATCTTTGCTTCACCCCCAGTGAAACAGATACGAGTAGATGTTGTTGTGATTGGGTGATCACAAAGTTAACTATGGCTGGCTGCAAAGCAGGTGGGACAAGGGCCTGAGAAAGTTGTGTTGGATGAGCAGCCTTTATTGTTTATGTGGACAAGATTTTGTCCTTGTCTGCAAAAGTGCAGTCTTACCCCACAGGTCTTGGATTATAGTTTGGGACGATATGGTATGGAAAAGGGAGGAAAGGAAGAAAAAAAAACAGGGAAGAAAAGAAGACAATATGACAGAGGAAAAGCTAAGCTTTTGGTTAATGCTTTTATTCCATGTAATGTTGCAATAGGGAGGGTCTAATTCTTATGTATATTAACCTGTGTGTTCCAAAAGAGAGTGGATCTTGCCGCATCGGTAAGGTTTCTCCATTGTGACCTAGCACTAAGGGTTTGAGTTGCAAAAACAGCTTCCCCTCCATGGACCTCGTATTGCCAGAGCATCATACACTAGGTGACCCTTTTTTATGTATGTTTCAAAACCACCTCTGTCGGTGACTAAATGCAGTTCTTCTGACATACTTGACTTCAAACTTGTCATTTTGCATTTCTTTTATGACTGCCTATAATGTGAATCTCCCTGTTTCACATGAAGGTTGGTCCTGGATCTGTTCTACGAGGTCCTTTGGAGAATGCAAGTAACCACNTAGAAACTTTGTGCGATTAATGTTAAAGGTTAGCACCTCCTTCAGCTCCTTGACTAACTGTAACCAATATGGATTGTAACCATTATATCAAACAGAGCCAAGGGTTAAAAGAATTTACAACATGCACTAAGAAAAGAAATAATCCTTCAACAGTTAGCTAAACATGGCCCATCTTGGGGAGCATAAATTTTGCGTTATCTTTGCTTCACCCCCCAGTGAAACAGATACGAGTAGATGTTGTTGTGATTGGGTGATCACAAAGTTAACTATGGCTGGCTGCAAAGCAGGTGGGACAAGGGCCTGAGAAAGTTGTGTTGGATGAGCAGCCTTTATTGTTTATGTGGACAAGATTTTGTCCTTGTCTGCAAAAGTGCAGTCTTACCCCACAGGTCTTGGATTATAGTTTGGGACGATATGGTATGGAAAAGGGAGGAAAGGAAGAATAAAAAACAGGGAAGAAAAGAAGACAATATGACAGAGGAAAAGCTAAGCTTTTGGTTAATGCTTTTATTCCATGTAATGTTGCAATAGGGAGGGTCTAATTCTTATGTATATTAACCTGTGTGTTCCAAAAGAGAGTGGATCTTGCCGCATCGGTAAGGTTTCTCCATTGTGACCTAGCACTAAGGGTTTGAGTTGCAAAAACAGCTTCCCCTCCATGGACCTCGTATTGCCAGAGCATCATACACTAGGTGACCCTTTTTTATGTATGTTTCAAAACCACCTCTGTCGGTGACTAAATGCAGTTCTTCTGACATACTTGACTTCAAACTTGTCATTTTGCATTTCTTTTATGACTGCCTATAATGTGAATCTCCCTGTTTCACATGAAGGTTGGTCCTGGATCTGTTCTACGAGGTCCTTTGGAGAATGCAAGTAACCACAACATGTAAGTACATTATATCATTTGGGACACTTTGTGCTTGTGATGAATTTTTTTTTGTTCAGTTAATTACTATTTTATAATGGTAGGACACCAAGGCTCTATTGTGACCTAAAGGACTGCCCCATGGAACTGCTTCGCCCCCCTGAAGATTGCAATGTGAACTCTTCATTGTCATTCACGCTTCAGGTGTTCAGTTAGTTGGGTAGAACACTAGGAGTTTCTTTAATTAGAAGTTTCTGCTTCTAGTTCAAGTTGTATGGTTCTAAGTGGTGTAATGCGTTTTTTGTTTGCCAGCGTATGTCTGAATTGGTTTGCTTTTGCAGATCTGCCGAGTTGAAGATATAATTGTTGAAGGCTTCATAGAAGGATCTGTTGTTCATTTCCACTGGATTAGAACTGTGGTTATTAAATTTTCTGGAGTAATTAGTGCATCTGGGCTTGGTGTGTTTTTAACTTTCCCTTTGTCTCTTCCCTTTTACAAAACTTCAAACAGCACATTCATGTGTAGATAAATATTAAATTTTTATTTTGTGTTACTAGCAATACACGACGTGCATCGCACGCAAATAAATTTAAATAAATAATTTATTTTTATAAAAAATGTAAATTGTATGTATAATTAAATTAAATAATAAATTAAGTGTCGAATAATTAGTCTGTATTTTAATTATTGCTAGATTTAATAATAAATTTATTCTATAGACTTTGATTATCTAATCTGCCATTTATTTAAGTATCTCTCCGACTTTTTTAGGCATTTGCACATCTATTGATTATATCGCTTATAATATAATTATATTATTGTATACAAAAAAATAAAATATAACATATATTTGATTTTAGAATTCAATTTGGCAAGTACATGTGTATAATAATTTAATATGTATAGGACTTTATTGCTTCATATAGATTTAGAAAATTGTATGTAACTGTACTACTAATAAATGAGTTCAAAAGAATTTAGAAGTCTTTATAAAAGAGTCCAAAATAAATTGAAAGCTAAATAGGAGTAAAAAAATAAAAATTAGATGAAAGTATAGAGGTGGATATAATTGATTTTATTATAATAATTAGAGATAAGATAGAAAATCAAATTTTTTTTATAGATGCTGACATTTATAAGTAGTATAAATATTCATCAAATCCCATAGGTTTTGTACAATTTTGAAGCTTGTTCCACAGGCTCGTGTCTCAAGTTTAAATATACATTAAGTTTTTGTGTGTAATTTATGCAGGCTGCGTTGGTGGGATGGGCAGAGGAAAATTTTTGACCAATGGCCTTGGTGGTGGGGGTGGACATGGCGGCAAAGGTGGGGATGGATTTTACAATGGCAGTTTTATTGAGGGTGGTGTTGAATACGGGAATGCTGATCTACCTTGTGAACTAGGTAGTGGAAGTGGAAATGACAGCCTAGCTGGAACAACTGCAGGTGGTGGCATCATAGGTAAGCCATTGCATCTGCTGTGTGTGTGTGTGTGCGTGTGTTTTTTTTTTTTTGTTTTTAAATTTTAGTGGCTTGTTTTAGGCTTTGGTAGACAAGGATGAACTGGGGGTTCAAATTCCTTGAGGCTCATAGTGTGCTTCACTCATTTTGCACAACTGTTTATAATCAATATTCCACAGACTGACACCATGGTGATACTCGCCAGTCGCCACAACATTGTGGCTGAGAAATATGATGGTTTTTTTGACGCTCATTTAATTTTGGCGCAAGTCCGAAATATTTTGCTGTTCCTTTTTTATTGGAAGCACGTTTAACCACAAGGTTTTATGGTGGTACTACTAGCGAAGGACAAGGGATGGTTTTGAATAAATGTGGTATGTCGACACGTTAGAACCATGCCTGTTAATGTCAACACATTTTCAACACATATGAACTCATATATATTTGTATTACCCTTCCATGCTACATTTCAGAGTATATAGAGAAGCATATTCCTGTTTCTGTCCCGTGTGATATGTATTGGAATTATTGTGTTAAAATAATTATGATTTACCTATAGAGTTTAACGACTTGGTTGCAACTCTCATTATCCCGACACTGAAGGTTTTGAAGTAGCAACCCTTTTTCTCTTCCTCTTTGTAACCATAAAATCCTAAGAATTAAGAAGTGGCAATCTTAGTTCTTCTCTGTGCTAGAACTCGTGTGTGTGTTTTGGGGGTTTGGGGGGGGAGAGTGAGAGAGAGAGGAGAAGAAGAAATGCTGATTTCGTGCATCTGATGCTGAAAAAATAGAAGCTACGCCGTAATACATGTCTTTGACTCTTCTCATTTTGGTTCCTGGGTGTTACACATGACGATTTACTGTTGTCTCCGTTACTTTAGAATTCACTAAAGCAATCTTTCTAATGCCCTCATCGTCATGATCTGTCATTTACATATTGTTTTTCTACATTTCTTTTATGAGTAGATTTCTATTTTAATCTCTCCTTTTTGAACAGTTATGGGTTCACTGGAGCACTCATTGTCAAGCTTGTTTATCCATGGCTCACTTAAAGCTGATGGAGAAAGTTTCGGAAGTAATATTAGAAAGCAATACGGTAGTGTTAGCTCTGATATAGGTCCAGGAGGTGGATCTGGTGGAACTATTCTTTTATTTGTTCATACATTGGCCCTTGCTGATTCTTCTATGATCTCAACTGTTGGAGGACATGGTAGTCTCAATGGAGGCGGTGGAGGCGGAGGAAGAGTGCACTTTCATTGGTCAGACATTTCTGTTGGGGATGATTACCAGCCCATTGCATTTGTCAATGGAACAATAAACACTGGGTTCGTATCTAACTGAAATTAGTGGTTCAGTAGCTTTGATGCATTTATTTCATACGTGTGTTTTTTTAGTTATGAAGCAGATATTTTTCCTTTTAAGGATTCTACAGTAGTTGCTTAGTTGACTGGATCATTGACTGAACATCTACTAAAACTGTGCTTCAAGTAAAAATTGCTGGAAAGAGATGCCATATTGGATGTTGTTAGTCATTTGATCATGAATTTTGACATAAGAAGGACAAAGGATCAAAATTTTGTTTTGAATTGTCGAAATGTCCAAAACGTTTTCCGTCTCTACGGAGACCGAAACGAATCAGTGATGGAATTGATATTCTAATACTTTGAGGTGTTTTATAATGTTTCAAAGTTTTTTCTAATGTTTCAATGTATTTGTACAATTGTTTCGGAATGTTTAAAGATATTTAAGATATTTGGTATATTCCGATCAATGTTTTGAAAAAATAATTCTTAGATTTTTTATTTTTATTATTCTGTTTCCAAAACATGTCAAAATATTTCCGTTTCCTAGGTAATCGATACAATGCACGGAAACAAAATTTTGATACTTGAAAATCTCAAGGACAATTTTTCCTTTTTGACATTTATTCTCCTTTGTCATGGGCATGTGTGCCTCAGGGGGAAGGGGAATGAGTGGCCTTTGAGATGTTTGTTGGTATGTCGTCGTCCATAATTTTTTGTTTTAAAACACAGCACGTAAGGACAATAGTCACAATACTTTTAGAAAGCTTGGAAGAAATGATGGTTCATGGGTGTGATGTGAGTAGTTTCTAAGTTTGTATTAAATGCGCAAAAATCAAAATATTAAATGTTCACCCTTTATGCAAGAGATGGAATTATTTATTAGAGTTACTATACAATTACTAAGATGTAGGCTTCCGTTGACATTAAAGGATGGTAATGCTAATTTATAATCACATCAAATCTGCTCAAATTATAAGTGGATGTCAGTTAAAAAGTCTTGTATATGAGTCTCACGAAGAAACTCTGAGTTCTCTAACAGTGCTTTGGACTTGGTACATTAGCAGGATTCACTGAAGAAAACCAGTGGATAAATTTTTTTTTGTGGGATCATTCTATAACATCTGTTTTGAAGTCCTCTTTTGGCCCTTTATATTAACTACACAGGGCTGAAGTCAGAGTCAGTCTAACTATCCAAGTTCCTATCACGACCCTGTTGGCTGCAGAAACAGTGGCTTCTCCAAAACCATTGGCCTTAAACTGCAGAACTAAAATGCATATGAAATCCATGGTTAGAAATGATCCCTTCCCTTTAATTAGGTTGGAGCTCATAGGTTGCTGCTAGCCGTCCTAGTCTAAGGACATCTTCTCAGGAAGCATAGGCTATTGTAACTTGTGCCCTCACCTTTGATTTTTTGCATTGGTTTTCTTGAGTTGGTTCTTTTTGAATCTTTTACCTCCAAACCTACCAAAAGGGGGAAAAAAGAAAGTATTTAGAATGATGTTCTGCTTGAGAGGCATGCACACGTGATTTAATGAATTACTTAATCATTTATTTTTCGGCCAAGGGGTGGGAGACCAAATGTTCACTCCGTCGTGATCAAGGACACTTCATTTTAAACTTCCTAGTTCCTGGCATATGAAACTCGCCTGAATTGCCTGGTTATTCTGTTGGGTGTGTCCTTTCAAGACAATATCTGGTCTCGAATTTCTTCTAATTATTTAGTTATTCCTTTTGAATGATTTAATTTAAATGTTAATTTTTTTTTTCTGGATGGGGGATTGAGGAGCAATTCCCCTGTTTGGAATTCTTAGCAAATATTTCTGCTAAGCTTATGTTGATCTGTTTGGGTTTAGATACTGTTTATACTTTTTTTTTGGTAGGATAGAAATTGTTCGTACTTGAAAATCTTTTTGTTTTAACAACTACGACCAAGTCTAGAGGACTAATGTTNCCCTGTTTGGAATTCTTAGCAAATATTTCTGCTAAGCTTATGTTGATCTGTTTGGGTTTAGATACTGTTTGTACTTTTTTTTTGGTAGGATAGAAATTGTCCGTACTTGAAAATCTTTTTGTTTTAACAACTACGACCAAGTCTAGAGGACTAATGTTCTAAGTTGAGCTTGATGATGTTATCTTTGGAATGGATGAGGGAGCATGCTCTTGTGTTCTTCGTCCAAGGCATATCTGGTAGATAGCCTTCTGATACAACCTTCTTGAACTTCTGAAAAGGTAAACATAGAGAAGGTGCCATGACAAGTTTTCCTGTTTCTGCCTTTGCAAAGGCTGTGTATCTAACTTTTGGATGCACTCGATTTAATCATTTGCTTGCTTAAAGTACATTTAGTGGTTGGTGTCCTTGTCATCACCTATGTAGAACAGGCATAAAACTTACATTACTATACAACATGAGATGGACACACCAACATGCTCACATTCCAAAAATTGAAGAAATTTGTTTAGGGATATGTTCAGCACACCAGAGCAAATAAATTGATGCATATAGAATTATTTAGATTGGCATTATATGCATGACAATATAGGAAAATTGGTACTTTTTGTTAAACCATTATGTCTTTCTTCTGTTGCCATAACATGAAATTTTAAACTTAAGAATCTCAATTGTTGACAATCACCTGTATCATATAGGCAAAGCTGGGCGAACATCCATAAGTACCATCATTCATCCCATTGTCCCATTGCGCCTCTTTAAATTGAACATTCACGACTCTTGCTTTTTTTCCAAGTGTACTATTCCTTAAGTATTTTTGATAAATTTTACATGGACCGTTAATTTGACTAATTTTAAGAACTATACTTCCCTTCATACTATGAGAAAGTGGTATCTTTTCTTCAACCTTTTGTGATATGTNTTGCTTTTTTTCCAAGTGTACTATTCCTTAAGTATTTTTGATAAATTTTACATGGACCGTTAATTTGACTAATTTTAAGAACTATACTTCCCTTCATACTATGAGAAAGTGGTATCTTTTCTTCAACCTTTTGNACTTTTTTTCCAAGTGTAGTATTTCTTAAGTATTTTTGATAAATTTTACATGGACCGTTAATTTGACTAATTTTAAGAACTATACTTCCCTTCATACTATGAGAAAGTGGTATCTTTTCTTCAACCTTTTGTGATATGATGGTGAGTGTTCAAGAAGTGTTTTAAATGTTTCTGTGATTAAGTTTTTAATATGGGTCCAATATTGTCATAGTGCCCCCTTGAAGAGTCCNATGGTGAGTGTTCAAGAAGCGTTTTAAATGTTTATGTGATTAAGTTTTTAATATGGGTCCAATATTGTCATAGTGCCCCCTTGAAGAGTCCGTGCTTCTTAGGTCATCACTCCTATATGATAATAGGTTACTCCTGCCTTGCTAATAGTGTGGTTTTGGTTGGAATTCTTGTTTCACTTCAATATTGGCACTCTTGTACATTTTTATGATTGATACCCGTTTCTTGTGCTTCTGATGATCTCCATGGTATCAGTTGGTTGAGCCCTTTCTTTGAGTTAATCTTTTTTTTTTTGGTCCAATGTTTATGGCAGTGGAGGAATGGGTAGAGGCCTGGGTTATGCCGGGGGAAATGGAACTGTCACTGGAAAAGCCTGTCCAAGAGGACTTTATGGGATCTTTTGTCAGGTAGCTTTGCTATTTCATAGTAATATGTAGTTCTTGTGACCTCTTCTAGGGTTTCAAGAGTTGTAGGCCCTGTACAAATATCTAAGGGATGAATGCACATACTAAGTAAACTTAAACTGAAAATGTGGTTGGCACATTTCAAAAAGCTTCAGTTGACTTCCTGTCTCAAATTGATTTTTTTCTTTAAAGATTCTTGTTGTATATAAGCGACTCAGATACAAATTCCTACATCTTACAACTCTTGCTCCCCTCTGTGAAAAATGCAACTTGACCCATGTGTCTATTTTTCAGTTGGTATTTTGAAATTTGCATATATTGTATTTTACTAGCTTTCTTTTTCCCCTCATACAAGTTGGTTCAGGATGCTTTTTGATGAATTTCTTTGACTCAACCCCTTTCCCCTAGCATGCCCCTTATGTAAAGTATTGCACACTTCTTAGTTGGGGTTGTTATCCTGGACATTGCCTAATCATCTAAGTCAAATTTCTCCCATTTTAATCCCAAGTAGTTCATTTTTTGAATTTTTTCTTCAAAATTATTGTTTTTACCACTGTAATGCAGGAATGCCCACTTGGAACTTTTAAGAATGTCAGTGGATCTGACAGAGCACTTTGTCATAGTTGCCCATCTCATGAGCTTCCTCGTCGTGCTAAATTTATTGCTATTCGAGGTATCCTTGATTTTGACTCTGGTTGTTTTTATGCTGAAAATGATGGCATGGCCTTGTTTAAATTTGATGATTATTTTTTTAACACAATCTGCGGGAATCTTTTCTGTAAACAATTGCTAGCAGTCATTGCCCAGTTTACTGTTTCATCAAGAGTGGTATGAGGAAATATACAAATGTGTTTAATTCAGATTCTTTTTTTCTATCTTCTTACGTTATTTCATTGGCACACAATATCCACTATTGTGTTTCTGCTAATTTTAATTGTAATTGCTTTGGCAGGTGGTGTTGCTCACACTCCTTGTCCTTACACATGTGGTTCTGAGAGATATCACATGCCACACTGTTATACAGCCCTTGAAGAGTTGATATACACCTTTGGAGGGCCATGGTTATTTGGTTTTATTCTCTTAAGTCTTCTCATCCTACTAGCTCTTGTGCTTAGTGTTGCTCGGATGAAATTTGTCACAGCAGATGAATTACCTGGCATAGTTCCAACTCGACGTGGTTTGCAAATAGATCGCTCGTTCCCTTTTTTGGAGTCATTGAATGAGGTTCAACTTTAGTTTTACTTCCATGCATTTTCTTATCTACCACCCAATCAAACATCAACTTGTCAAGCAAAGTGCTATGCTTTGCAGATTATTCTAAACATAAAAGTTATGCTCTCTCTTAGGTTTTGGAAACGAACAGAAATGAGGAATCCCAGAACCATGTGCATAGAATGTACTTTTTGGGATCTAACACTTTCAGTGAACCTTGGCATCTCGCTTACTCTCCTCCAAAACAAGTTTTAGATATTGTGTAAGCTCTCTCTCTCTCTCTCTCGGTGTTTGTGTGTGTGTGTGTGTGTGTGTGTGTGCGCATGAACGTGTATATGTGTTAACTGATCCAGAAGTTACCTGTCCATACTTTGTCTGGAGNCGCTTACTCTCCTCCAAAACAAGTTTTAGATATTGTGTAAGCTCTCTCTCTCTCTCGGTGTTTGTGTGTGTGTGTGTGTGTGTGTGCGCGCGTGAACGTGTATATGTGTTAACTGATCCAGAAGTTACCTGTCCATACTTTGTCTGGAGCTTATATATTTTCTATTTCTAGTTTATTGTATTGAACCATTTCCAAATTAAATGATTTGCTCGTAGATTCAAATTATACAAATGGTTTTTAGAAAATTTCAATAAAAAAAGGGGTGGGATTGAGGCTGGCCAAGCGAACAAAAATGCTTCTTTTCTATGGTAGATGCTTTAGGGCCTCTTTGCTTGCAGTTTTTGTTTCTTTTTTTTTTCAGCCTTCTGTTTTGAGGAATCGTTTATGTTCATATCCTCTCTGAAAATTGAGTTTTTTACACTTATTAGAAGTTATTTACACTTTACACTTGTTCCAAAACAATAGAAACATGAGAACCACCTTCAATTCTTGTTGGCAACCTAATAATGTGTCTGCCCATTTTTGACCAGCAAAATCCTGGGGCATCCCTTTCAAATTTGATATCGGCTCCGTTCTTTCCATCATCTCCATCTTCAAGGCTCCAAGTTTGACTATCTCTGCTTGTCTCCTTTCTTCTTGTTCACCATGCTCTGTCCACCTAGCTCTTTGGTGATTTATGCCAGCCCCAACCAGATCATCCTCCTCCCCTTCCTTGTCTTCCTTTGTCTATCTCGCTTTCTTCGGTCTCAAGCCTCACAATAACACCTACTGATCATTTTTTATTTTTTTAANATCATCTCCATCTTCAAGGCTCCAAGTTTGACTGTCTCTGCTTGTCTCCTTTCTTCTTGTTCACCATGCTCTGTCCACCTAGCTCTTTGGTGATTTATGCCAGCCCCAACCAGACCATCCTCCTCCCCTTCCTTGTCTTCCTTTGTCTATCTCACTTTCTTCGGTCTCAAGCCTCACAATAACACCTACTGATCATTTTTTATTTTTTTAAGTCGAAGCACAAATGTGTAAATAGACATATCTAAGGACAGCAAGTTTCACACAGAACCTGATCTTGTCTAACGATTCTGACCAACGACTTATAGTCATATATGACAGACTGTAAAAAGAAATATATGACAGACTGTGAAAAGAAAAAAAGGTATACAGAGTAGTAGTTTTTTTTTTTTTTGGCATTAGGAGACTATTTGGGCATTCAATGGACAAAGAGATTGAGATGCTTGGATTAGAGAGAGAATCCCATCTGGTGTTGGGTATTATTCAGTTGAGTTCGAAGTAATTTAAAGAAANGAAAAGAAAAAAAAGGTATACAGAGTAGTAGTTTTTTTTTTTTTTGGCATTAGGAGACTATTTGGGCATTCAATGGACAAAGAGATTGAGATGCTTGGATTAGAGAGAGAATCCCATCTGGTGTTGGGTATTATTCAGTTGAGTTCGAAGTAATTTAAAGAAAAAAAGGGGGGGGGGGGGCTGGTGATGGTTGAATTGGGAATGTGAAGATGACCAATTGGTAAAAAAAAAAAAAAAGAACAGAAACATGCATACACAAAAGGCAAGATTTAGGTTTATTTTTTAAGCCAGTTTTCACTATGTGGCAGATATGAAGATGCGTTCAACAGATTTGTAGATGAGATTAATGGTTTAGCTGCTTATCAGTGGTGGGAAGGATCAGTCTACAGCATTTTTTCTATTATTGCATATCCACTTGCCTGGTCATGGCTGCAGTGGTGCCAGAAAAAGAAAATACAATGTTTACGTGAATTTGTTCGATCAGAATATGATCATGCTTGCCTGAGCTCCTGTCGTTCACGTGCTCTCTATGAGGGGCTTAAGGTTCGTTTTTTCTTAACCTTCAATATGAATTCTCCAACATCCCAAATATGGCTTTATTGTTCATCTTGTTTGGTAATGGAATTTCATAAAATTCCTGTGGAAGTTTGTGGAAAATTGAAAATAGTCACAATTGTTTGTTGCATTATTCTTGATATGGGTTGATTTCCTCATCAGAGACGTAAAAGAGTCAAGGGTGCCAATTGTAATGTTTATGAAGCATAAGGAAATAGTAGATAAAGAGCTAGGAGGTCGTGTATAGCAAATCTCTGAAATGCAGAACTTATAAGTGTTTATACTCCATGGAATTTTCTTACTAGTTCTGGAAATTCGCTCTTGGAAAATTGTGGCTCAAAGATTCCAAGATATTCAAATTTCTGTTGTTTTTTAATTATTTCTTTAACTAGAAAGAAGTGGGGAGAAGAGGAAAAAGATAATAAAGAAGGAGAGTAGGAGAACATTTCACAGTTTCTTGTCATATTCAGAAAAAAAAGCAATGTGAGTGAGTGAGAATTTTATTTTTAAGTTTTTGTTTTTCTTACTCTGTAAATTTTTCCGACTTTGGCATGAGATCTCGTCTTTGTGGGGGATATTTATATACTATTGTACGAAGTATGTATTGTGATATCTCTTATTATTGAACTGCTGATGCTAATAAGANCTGTAAATTTTTCTGACTTTGGCATGAGATCTCGTCTTTGTGGGGGATATTTATATACTATTGTATGAAGTATGTATTGTGATATCTCTTATTATTGAACTGCTGATGCTAATAAGAATTTTTNGTAAATTTTTCCGACTTTGGCATGAGATCTCGTCTTTGTGGGGGATATTTATATACTATTGTACGAAGTATGTATTGTGATATCTCTTATTATTGAACTGCTGATGCTAATAAGAATTTTTGGGTGGTTATACTGCCCCATTTACCAAAATAGATGAAAAGAAAATGTTTATCTGTTAACAATTGTGTTAGATGCATTACAGACCTTGAGTTATTTAATAAGCCCAAATTGTTGGGAATCAAATCATTATTCATTGCTGATTATTTTTTAGCCTCTTTTCCTGACCAGTTTGCTGAATACAATGCTGGCTTCCTGTTTGATCCTGATGAGATCAAAGTCCATTTAAATGTGAAGTGATGGAATTGTAACTTTTGATAAGCTCAAATTAGCTAAGCAATGTCATGGTCACTGTTCCAAATAATAATAAGTCCCATGCTCTCGTATAATTAGAGCTTTTTGAAATTGACAATGTTCTCTGTCTTTCGGCAGGTAGCTGCAACCTCTGATCTAATGCTTGCACATGTGGATTTTTTCCTTGGTGGAGATGAGAAGAGAGATGACCTTCCTCCTCGCCTTCATCAACGATTTCCGTTGTCTTTAGTTTTTGGAGGAGATGGATCTTACATGACTCCTTTCTCTCTTCACAGTGATAATGTTCTAACCAGCCTCATGAGTCAGGTCTGCTAGTCGTTATAGATTAAGATACTTGACTGTAGAGTTATTCGTTACATTAAGTATTATACTTTTGTAGTTTTGTTTCTTATGGAATACTTTTTGATTGTTCTTTGCACAATTTTGCAGTCTGTCCCACCAACAATTTGGTATCGATTAGTGGCTGGACTGAACGCACAGCTGCGTTTGGTTTGCCGTGGACGTCTGAGGAGAACTTTCCATCCAGTTATCAGCTGGCTTGAAACACATGCAAATCCAACTTTAAGTATTCATCATGTTCGTGTTGATCTTTCTTGTTTTCCGCCGACAGCTGGTGGTTATTGCCAGTTTGGCCTTGTCATGTCTGCTATCAAAGATGAAAATGTGCCACCATCAATTGAAGAGCCAAATGGAGTTTTGTTAGCTGAGAAACAGTCACGGTAATATTTTCACGTATTTTTTCCCCAAGTTGTTTTGCTACCAGTTTGATAGAAACACTTAGAGGCTTAATTTTCTCCATTACATAATACGCAGTTTGCTTGATATTAATGGGAGGAATGCTTCTGATCATTTGAAAACCAATGATCCTTTGATGATGCCTAAAAGGGTTTTTGGAGGGACGTTAAATACTAAGAGTTTACAAGCACTGGAAGAGAAGATGACTTTACATTATCTTTTTTCTTTTATTATTCGTAACAACAAGCCTGTTGGTCATCAGGTATTTCTAATGCTTAAGCTTATGGAGCGGATTTGAATAGGATAATAACTTTCTATAAATATCTATTTAGATTTTGAGAATGCTTCTCTCTGTTTAACTTATTCTTCTGAACCATTGCAGGATCTTGTTGGTTTGCTCATCTCAATATTGCTTTTAGGAGATTTTAGCTTAGTCTTGCTTACATTACTTCAGCTATACTCCATTTCGCTGCTGAATTTCTTATTGGCTTTGTCTATTTTTCCTCTCGGCATACTANGATATTACTTTTAGGAGATTTTAGCTTAGTCTTGCTTACATTACTTCAGCTATACTCCATTTCGCTGCTGCAGTTCTTATTGGCTTTGTCTATTTTTCCTCTCGGCATACTACTTCCATTTCCCGCTGGANAATATTGCTTTTAGGAGATTTTAGCTTAGTCTTGCTTACATTACTTCAGCTATACTCCATTTCGCTGCTGAATTTCTTATTGGCTTTGTCTATTTTTCCTCTCGGCATACTACTTCCATTTCCCGCTGGAATCAATGCTTTATTTAGCCAGGGACCTAGGCGATCAGCAAGTCTTGCACGTGTATATGCTCTGTGGAACATCACGTCTTTGATAAATGTTGTAAGTTGCTCCGTTTGTATGCCTTCAATTTTAAAAAAGGTGATATTTTCTTTGAACTTGAAACTGACGCAGAAATGGAAGCAATATGGTATTGGACTTTGCCTTAGGATCCAGTGGCATCATCTCTTGGATCTACTTTTCTACACATGAATTGTAGCCTTGATATTCTTTTTATTAACTGCTTTCTGCTTCCTCACTAACTGATGTGAAATTTGTGTTTGTCCTAACTCCTAGAGTTTGGATTCTCAAACATTTACCTTTTGTTGATGCAGGTTGTTGCCTTTGTATGTGGATTTGTTCATTACAAGACTCAACCCCCACCAACTAACCAAAATCTGAACTTTCAGTCCTGGAATTTTAGCATGTAAGGAGCTTTTATCATCTGCAGTTGAAATGTGATCATCGAATAGCCACCACAACAGTATTACTTGCCGTAGTGGTGCAGTGCCTGTAGCTTTCATGGCTTGGATGTTGTTCTCATGCATATGTGGTTGTGATTGTGGGTGCAGGGACGAAAGTGGATGGTGGTTGCTTCCTTCTGGATTGATGCTATGTAAAATTATCCAAGCGCAGCTAATTAATTATCACGTGGCTAACCTAGAGATTCAGGATCGCACATTGTACAGTAACGACCCTGACATATTCTGGCAGTCCTGACACATCCTTCTTTACTCATTGTTATGGTTCTTTTTCATTCTATGTATACTTGTAAATATAACAGGTGAGCAAGTGGTAAATAATTACGAGAGAGGAGGGGGAATCTACAAATATGTAGTTGATCTAATATAAAGTTGTTATGCCTATTCTTTAGAGATTTCTAAGTTGTGCCTATGCTTTGCAAATTTCTATGCTTTCTCTTTTCCACAATTTAGCAAATGTGCTATTGCAGTCCTTTATGGTGTGGGTATTGTTGTATCAACCGTCTTAGACTCTGAAGCTCCTCCTTAGTTCGGATGTGCCTTTCATGATAAAAATTGAAAGGCGCAACACAATATGTATGTTGTAGCTTTCTTGACCTGTTGGTCTCTTGTTGAGTGTTGGTACGTGTAGGTGGAAACAACAGTTGATTGCTTTGCTTGCTGGAAGTTTGCTTGAGATGAGTTTTGTACAGTAAATATGCTGCACTTAGAGCTTCAATGAGAGGTGGTTGAAATTCTGAGGCAAATTTGAAGTATCATCTGCATGACTTGATTTGGCTCATTTAAACCCATGCTTGCTACTTTATCAATAAGAATGGAATTTTTGAGATTAGTGTTTAAAGTTTGGTACAAAAACAACTTGGATGACGATCAACCTGTCAAGATATTTTGGATGACAAGGTTTCATTCTAATTTCAAGCCATGTGAGTGGCACAACTCGTCATTTTTTGTTAAAAATTTTTTAAGCGGCGGACAAAAAGATTCGATTGATATAATTAGAGAGTTTAGCAGTTTAGTTGACACAAAAAAAAAAAAAAAATGTTTAGGAGTTTGACACAAGGGTCAAAGTTTGAGGATTATATGTATAATTTATTCNATTTTAAAGCGGCGGACAAAAAGATTCGATTGATATAATTAGAGAGTTTAGCAGTTTAGTTGACACAAAAAAAAAAAATGTTTAGGAGTTTGACACAAGGGTCAAAGTTTGAGGATTATATGTATAATTTATTCAATATTTAATGAACTTAATAAGATTTATTAATCTAATGGTTGATGTTAAGATGGTGAACAAAAGTCGTATATTTATCAAAAAAAAAAACACAAAAGTCATATAAAGAATCTCAAGAGGTAGTTGAAGTGAAAACATGAATGAGTTGTAAATTCAGAGATCTTGAATTCAAATTTTGATTATTTCTTAAGATTNGAGATTTATTTATGTTAAGATGGTGAACAAAAGTCGTATATTTATCAAAAAAAAAAAACAAAAGTCATATAAAGAATCTCAAGAGGTAGTTGAAGTGAAAACATGAATGAGTTGTAAATTCAGAGATCTTGAATTCAAATTTTGATTATTTCTTAAGATTAGGTCATGAGAGATTTATCTCTCATAAATACCTTATTCCTGATATAACTTGGCTTTAACTAAACTGGAGATGGATTAGTCGAAATGTGCATAAACTCGTTGTGATGGTGGCAGCCATGGGGTGACAACAGTAATGGTGATAGTGGGTAAATAATAGTGGTAGTGACAATCATGAGTGATGACAATGGTGGTGGTGGACGACGGTAATGGGCGGTTGTGATACTGGAAAGTGTGGTGGGGGGTGGGTGATAGTGGGTGGCAACGGTGGTAAGCGATAACGGGTGGTGGTTGATGGTGGTAGGTGTAATGGGGGTGGGTGGCAGTGGCAGGCGATGAAGGGTGGTGGATGGGTTGTGGTGGACAACGATGGTGGTGGTGGATGCTGGTAGTGGACAACGGGGGTAGTGAGAATAAATATGAGAATGAGATAATAATGGTGGTAGATGGTGGCAATGGTAGCAATCGGTATTGAATTATGATGGTAGTGGGGTGACAATAGTGGTGGTAATTGTAATGGTGGTGGTGGGGGCAGGGGTAGTGGGGGTGGTGGAGGTAATGGTGGGATAGAGGCGTTGGTGGTAAGGTGGCGGTGGTGGTGGAGTGACGACAGTAGTTGTAGTGATGACGGTGGGGCAATGATGGTGGATGTTGTTGCAGAGGTGGTGATGGGATGACAGTTGTAATACCCCACATGCGTTTAAAAAAAATAAAAATAAAATAAAATAAAATAAAATAAAAGATAATAAAAGACATAGGTGTTCAGTAATTATTTCATTTGAAATGATAAAATAGTATAACTCAAGGAAAGAGTAGTTAAAAGATTAGTTTCGGTATGAAAATGTACAAAATAAATCATAAAAGAACTTGAACTAATTAGGTCGATGTAGAAAAGTATGTAGGATAAGTTAGGATTAAAGTTGGAAGGATTGGAAGTGAAAAGGGGCGCCCAAATGGGCGCTGGGGCGCTGCTCCGGGTACATTGCCTACTCCGGACCAGTTGTCGTAGAATCGTCATAACTCTTGCTACAATGGTCCGATTGAGCTGAAATTTTGACACAATGCAGAAGACATCTAGATCTACAACTTTCATGTTTTGCACTTTTTCAGATTCAAAGTTTATCATGATCAAAAATAAGGAAAACAGTAAGTCTGGAAAACCCTCAAAACAGACGATGAACAGTAAAAGTCGGGATTTTTGGGTTTTAAAACACCCATTCCAAGCCCTATTTCTCCCATTCTTCATTTCCCTTCCACTCTAAATACCTTAGAGCCCTAAGAGAAGAGAAAAGGGAGAGAAAAACACCAAGGTCAAGAGAGATTCCCACCTCATAAAGATCAAAACCGAATTTCTCAAGTTTTCTCTTCTCCACCCATTTCTTTTGCTTCTATTCCTCAACCACTCACACCCAAATCTCTAGAAACCCTAGGAGGACGAAATTAAGAGGAAAAGGAAGGAGAATAGGAAGATTTTGAATCTTGGGTCTTAGATTGAAGCTACAACCAAGAGGTAGGGGATTTCTTCCTAATTTCTTACATTGAGGCTAGGGTTTATGTATATACATATGTTTTCCACTCCCATCCATATTCATTTGATATGATTTGTAAGATTCTTAATTCTCCTTGTAATAAATGCTATGTTTGAATAATGGGATGGTTTGGTAACCATTAAATTTCTCTTTTTCATCTTCCAAACTTGGTTTTAAGAAAAATTGAGTTTTCTCCATATATTGCCTTGGTTCTCACTTTATAAATTTAGTGTTCGATATTGTTCAACGAAAATGATCTTTATATTGATCTTTTGCTCATTTTAATTCCATCTTGCTATGACGCTTTACTTGTGAAATTTGGGTATTTTGCGATTAATTGGTAAAATGTGAATTGATTGAGAATATGTTGGTTTACTCATTGTATGGTGGTTGGGAGGGACTTGGATTACCTACGAGATATGCCGTAGAGTGTAAATGTCAGTTGAACCCAGTGGGGGGGGAGATGGTTTCTTGCACTTGTAGTGAGTTGTCATTTGGTAATGCGACCACTATCGTACGCCTGGAGTTCGAACTAGGGTTGGTATACCATTCCTGGGGAGGGACTCGTCACTGCCATTGGGATGGTAGACGCCCCTTCCCTAAGTACTTGTGATTGTGATTATAAATGGGTGGACTAGGTATAATCGTTGGGTAGATTCATGAGAAACAATCAACATACATGGTACGGGGATGAACCAACATAAATGTGATGATTGGCTGGAATGGCTTGGCCGGTGCATTGGTATGGGACGATGCATCGGAGGGAGCCCCTCCTAATTGACTTAATGTTGGAAATGGTTTGCTATGGTTAAACTTAATTTATTTCTCTCCTTAACTACTGTATGGCTTAAACTTGAGATCTATTTAAAATGTCCCGTTTTACTTCAAATTCATATATGTTATTTATG